AGCCATCAACAGCTTTTAGGTTTCCAAAGCCCTTAACTTCAAGTATTTGTATCCGACTTATCTCTATGGGCTATATTGTCAACATACTGTATATGATGTACAGTATATGTGTATATATATATATAAATATATACGCACACTGTATGGCTGATTATAGCCCCTTGGAATATGCCAGTGCTTATCTTATTTCTTCTGCGAGCAGAAATGTCTTTTTTTTTAAATCTGATCTACAGAAGACAATTTCCAACTCTCAACCCCTGTTCCCCGCTTTTCTTTTTTACCTCAGCTACTTGAGACTTCATGATTAGCTCATAGTTATGTGATTTATTTATGTTTTTAGAGAGATGAATAGAAGGAACGTTTCCCACAAAACATTTTGGCTCTGGACATGCAGAATGGGCTTGATAGACTTTAGGAGTCCAGGGAAGGGGAGCTTGGGAGAGGCCTCATACATTCTCACTGGTAGACCGTGTTAAACACACCCACATTTCTCAGAGTAATTACAGATCGAAAATGAGTGGATAATGGACTCTCTGTGCTTTGAGGAAGACATTTTTGTCATTCAAGATGATATTTGAGTAAAAGGAGCTGGTGGTTGTGCTTTGTGACAAAAAGAGTGTCATGGCTATCTTAATGAAGATCTTTTCCTGCAGAGCTCTGTTCACATCAGAAGCGGGAGTTTGGGCAAAGCAGCATACTACAGAATTATCGATTATGTTGTGAGATATTTTCTTTTTTTGTTAGATTCTTATTACTTCAATTGATAGCATGTTATCCACACATTGGATTAGGGGGAGACTGGTTTTGATGTACACAGTGCTGTATATATATTATTGTGCATGGTTCAAGTGTAAACTGAGTAGTCCCATTTTACACGGATTTAGTTAATATACCATTTCAAATTGCCAAAGCACATTTCCAGATGTCTTTCTCCTGCTATTAGTGTATTGATATGGCCATATTGATCTCCCAGTGTGAGACAAAGCTCAGATGTAGTTTGCTGTGGACTCTAAGAGCTTTTGTACCACTCTGAGGTGAGAAGAGCTTTGGCACACTTGTACCGAGAGTATGTTGGAGCCCATGGCAGAGTTGGTTCCTTCTTCTACTCCCTTCACAGGTGCCAGGATTTAGAGAGGGAACACCTGCCAGCCTGTTTCCCCATGGCCATGGCAGGCTGGAGAAGCATTTTCCCAGGCTCCCCAGATGAATGGTCACTAATAGCCGTGGGAGAGGGCTTTGCGAGTGCTGCACAGTGTACCGCTGACTCCTCTTGGCAGGCCTATGAAGGGGGCTTAAGGCGGCCTGACCACAACCATTGCAAGAGAAGCACAAGTGTTGCTGGATATCTTTACTCTTGGAGATTGTGTTTACGAATTGTCCATCTCCCACCCCAAGAAGAATGCGGAGGATGTGTAGGGTCTACAAGGGAGATAGTTAATTTGCGCTCTGTTATGGATTTGTCTTGTGCGGCCTCTTTGTCCATTTTAAGCCTCACTTCCCTTATTTAAAGCAGTTTATGGCATTATGAAAAGTCTCTGAGTCATGTGAGATTTATTAGATTGACAGAATATACAAAAATCCATCACATATGTGTTTTAATGAAGAATTTTTACCTGGCAATCTTTCAAACCGCTGCTTTGACAGTTCGCAGCACTTCTCTTCAGATGAACTTGAGATAAGTTTGTCTGAAGTAATTCATTTAGTGGCAAGCTGTATAAACACTGACCCTCTTCTTAGTGTAGCCTCAACTATTACTATTTATGCTGAGGCTATTTTGTGAGGACTGCTCTGTAAATAGAGAGGCATGCCTGTGGCAGAGTTACCTGCCCTGCTCTGTTACTGGGCGTGAGGCGGGCCAGGATTAAGGCGAGAGGGAAATGGAGACCTGTGACAGGAACAAAGGAATTCCAAGGCCCTTTCTGGAAATGGATCCTGATCAGAGTGGCCGCTTTAGCCAGCCTGCCCCTCTCACCGTTTGCCCTCCCTCCTCTGGGCCCTGCTGGGCAACCCCCTTCCGCCCCTGGTGCTTTGTGGTGTTGCTGTGGCTCTTTGAATCCTTCCTGTAAGCCCCTGGCCTTACTCAGCAGCAACACATTGGACAGTCTGACTCCACGGTTAAGCCCGCTCCCTATTATTGCACAGACACACGTGCATGTAAATATGTATATTTATGTCCGTGTGTGTAATTTATGTAGTTAATTTATTGCCATTGGAGCTCTCCTCTCCATCTCTGCCCTGCTCATATCGTCTCTTTACGTTTTCTACTTTACGTTCTTCTCCTCTGCAGGGTCAGCTGCAGTCTTTTAAGGAATTGACCGCAAGCCCCACCATAGCTGTCACACCACACTCCTTTCCCATATAATTAGGGCCTAAGCCTGAGCCTGAGCATGGATGGATCACATTCATGTGACTGTTCCCTTTCACCACAATCTGGTCTGGGAGACAGCACACACTCTATTGAACTCAAGCTAAGTGTTCAGCCTGACCAGAATGCCCCGTTTCAGGAATTATTGAAATTTTCAAAGAGTGCCATTGTTGTTGTGCTCCACTTTAAAAGAAATGGGCTTAGTTTTTCATTTTTTCCCCCTGTTAGACAAGTGTCGTCATATTGCCAAACATGCCTTGTGTTGTCTGGGAAAGTGAACTTTCTGTGTTCTTAACACAAAGACTTACAGTTAAACATAGGTACAGATTTTCCATTCAGTTTGTTTAAGTACGAAAATCATTAAATGATTAATCAATCAGATAAATCCGGATGACTTTTTCTTCCTAATCTTTACTCCCCTGTTATTATTTGATACACTTAAAGAAGACAAAGCACAGTCATTGTTTGCAGTGTTCATATTTATATTTCCAAATGCGGCGGGGCAGATTTACAGAAGATGCAAAAAGCAGAGGCAGCCTCCAATCAGACTTTTTTTTCTGGGTTTTAAGGGACCAGAGAAGTGCATAACTCAAGTCCCCAAAGTACTGTGCACACCACTAAACCAAAGGATCTTGATGCAGAACTGTATCCTCCTCTCTCTGAACGCTCTTAAACATAAGTGGTGGCTGCTCTTTGGGAGATTTGTGGCCTTTTAGGCAGATTAAGGTATAATTATGATTGAATATGACATTTAGTATTGTGAGTGCATTTTCTCTCATCAGATTAGGCTTCAGGCAAAAACACTTTTTTCCCCTCCTTGATAATTGTTCTGTGCTCCGAAATGCTCCCCACCACTTTAGTCACATGCTGGATTATGGGTTGGCCTGAGCTACCATGCTGCGGCGTATTTTGTAACTGCGATGAAGGGGTCACCCAAATGTTAAATTGAACACTCATGTGCAAATATTGTTTCAGGTGGACGTTGTGCAGGGCGATAAGGCGCAGTGCTCTGCTACGGCCGTAGTTACAGTTGCACACAGAGAGTGATGTCCTTCCAGGAAAGCCCCCACTTACATATGGGTAACTTCCTCGGGCTCTCTCATCCTTCACCACTCCACCCCACTCTCTCGCTCTAAGCCCCGACTCTCCACCCACACTTGAGGACAGAGGGAGGGGGTCCACATCAAAGCGGAGATGTCAAAAGAGCAGGATTCTCCGGCACTGATGTCTGCTGGTTCAACTCCTGCTCAGAACGGGCTTCGCGTGGGAATTATCACCCTACTGACTGTCATTTGCTTACTTGTACATGCACGCCAGAAACATGGTTAATGAGAGAAATGAGGTTACTAGAAAAAGCTGGACAGTGCCTTTTCTTTCCAATAGTCAGATTTCTGTTTAAGCTGCTTTTATACGCAGCTGGTGGGTTATCAGATTTCACTCTTTATTGCTTTGAAGCACTCTTGAAATAAAAAAGTTCTAATGATATTTAATACTATGAAAAAAAGTAAAGTATGTAAGTAAGGAAAAAATATATACATTTTCCATGAAAAGTCCCTTTTTGTTCTAATCGCACACAAGAGATAGAGGTTTAGATTTTCCATCATTTGTTCAGCTGACGGATGTGTTACAATAAGTTCCCTTCTTTGGCACGTTTGTATCGATGTCAGTTTTCTCCGTGTCAGGACCATTACCATACGCAGATGGTAAACAGATTTCCTATAGTAATTCACGATGATTATGGAGGCTTCTTTTCCATTTTTGACAATACCCCAGTGATATCAAGTCTGGAGTAACCGTGTAACTCAAGGGCTTTTGTTTGTAATACACTAAGGGAAGACAAACACTGATGTATTCCTCATCATGGCCCTGCTGAGGTCAGGGTAACACATGGCCAGGACATGCAAAGAAAATCCTCCATAACGGAGCAGAAATTCGTATGGATTTTTGCATGAGTCACAAAAACAGTGGCTGCCAGGAATGCAGATTCCTGACAGTTGATGAGAAGAAGTGGGCAGTGTTTTTTTGGCCTGTTATAATGATCTTGTCTGGATGTGACTGAAGTCAGTTAAGTCTGTTCAGTGGGGGTTTACATTTGACCCCAGACTGAGTGCCTCTCACCCCAGTCCATTCCATTTTACAGTCCCAGTCTCTCTGGATGTCTTTTGGTTTGTTGACTCTTCTTTCCTCTCATTGTTTTTCCAGGAAGTGGTGAAAGCTGCACAGTGTGTGTGTTTTTGGGAGTCTGTGTGTGGATTCAAAATACAGTACTCTAGCCTTGGCACCCACCCTATGGAGTCTTTAGTCTTTTTTTTTTTTTTTTGCTGTTGTCCTGCGGTGTGTTACACGATGGCAGAAGTCTCGCCAAACAAGTGGTTGGAATATTATCTACCGCATTTTTGAAAACATAGCATGCTGGCTTGTTTACTGTTTAAATTGACCTGTCATAATACCATCGTTCATCGGATTTCAAAACAATTAAGCAAGACCATCTTCTCCATAAGGAGGTACAAACAAAACCCCTTAAAGTCTCCGTTTTGCAGATTTTGGTATTGCACCACTGTGGGCTCCAGTTGCCACAAAAAGAGGCCACTCATTCCCAGGGGAGGCACCAGCAAGCGGTGTGTGAGAGAGAAACATGAATGTAAGCTTAGCACGAATGAGAGCCCAGGCAGAGGGCCAAGACCAACTCTGCACTGTGCAGGACGTTATGAAGTTGGAGCAACAGCTGATGTCTCAGGCCATGGCGTTGCACTGGTTCCCAACTCTGTGTCCAGACATCCCTGTCAAATTTGTCCTGGGAATTGGCAAGCTCAACCCACCAAGGAAAAGCAGTGAGAACAGTTGTAAAGCTAGACATGAGGCTAAAAAGTCTAACAGACTGAATCATGGCCTCTAAAAACATTAGAGCCATGTGTGCGCAGTGAAAGATGCTGTGGCCCTCATTTCTCCAGGGCCCAGAGTGGACAGAGAAAACAAAACAAAGATAGAGATCTGCATTCCTCTTTGGGTAGATATCCAGAACCAGTGATATATGACCACCACTTTGCTATTTAAGGAGGACCAGAATATCTGATTTTTTCATTTTTATTTTCCCTAATAAAGGAAAGCTGCTGTTATCTACAAACATGCTCAACATACCCAAAGAGTGCTCTAATGCAATCTCATTTTGGGACTAATAATGGTCTATTTTAAGATTTCTGGCTTATTCATTATTGGACACTTTAGTGCACAAGGCTCAACACAGACACAGTTTCAATTCCAAACACAAATGAATGATACAACATCCAGTAACAGAGCTCTCTTACAGAGCTCAGATCTACCATAAGTCTGTCTTCTGGTTTACAGAAAATTGCCTAATACAGTTTAACCCATACAAAGGAGTGTCATTTAAATTTTTTTCAATGTGTATACTCCACCATATTGTCTTGCAAAGTAAACTGGTTTTGAGGTTTCAAATTGGCAGCTTTATGCTGTGTTTTTTTCCTATTGACTTTCTGTTTCTTTGTATACAGAGACTTCAGTTCCTGGCTTAGCCTGATCCTTATTGCAGAATTCCAATCACAAACTAGCAGCCAACCCAACTTTATTTGTTTAATTGTTGTACAGAATTTAAAAATCTGTTACTAAGTGGTCACTTGGATAACTTAACCGCAGTCAGATATGTTAATTTGCATTTAACTTTCTGAAAATCAGGCTTAAGCTCCAAAAGTCCCACCGATAACAAGAAAAAAAACTTAAGATGGCAACATTTTAGGCTAAGGAAGTCCACATGGGAAAGTTAAATTGCAAATTTCACTGGCTAAAAGCCTTCAGGCATCATTAAAAGCAAAGAATTTTCTACCAGGATATTAAGTGTTTGACTCAATGTAATTTCCTGGTCTTTATTATTTATAGAACGATCTGTTTACTACACTGTAAATTAATCATGGACATAAACCCTCAAGGCTAAAAATTGGCAGCTCTAACTTTGTGCTTTTCCAGTGTGACATGGCACACACCCAATGCGACAAAAAATGTCACACCCCATATGAGATGTAATTACAGAGTTACAGGATTATGGTTGATAAAACAGTTTGTAAAATCTGGCATATAAATGCCAAATTATTCCTTTCCAAACATGCAATTTAGACAATCTCTCGCATGGCATTCTTGCTGCAAGGCAGGAGACTGTAATCCAAGACTGCGAATGCCTCAACTTATTTTCTGGTTGTGGAAATAACTGTCTCTCAGATATCAGGATGGTTAGTGTAACATATTTGAGAAAGAAAGGTTTTAGTCACAACCCCTAACTTCTGTCATATATTTGCAGAATGTGGGAGAATAAATCTGAATGTTTACGTATAAATACATACAAAAATAGATTTTCATACCAAATAGGCCGGTGTGTTTACAGGATGGAACTCAATACATCCTTTTGCCAATCAGTGACTTCAAATTTTGACTTTTGAGAGGCTTTTTTGTTTCTGCTCTTCAAAGCCACAGCGATGCTGTGCCTAATGTGGAGCAAAGGCATAGTGGATGTTTAATGATCTCATTGCACTCATGTTCAGATATCAAGGGATTTTCTTTTATCCCGCATAAACAAGACCACATCAATATTTCTGCATAGACACACATGTGCTACTACAGTTAATGATGGATTTAATACGTTTTTTTAACCAGTGTAGAGATTTCCAAATAACTTTGGTGTCTAAAACATTAGAACAGTGCGCACAGAGACCACAGCGGATAGATTCTGGAGGCTGGTACAACGACCGCAAGCTCTTGTTCAGTTTTTGTTTTTTTTAATTTAGAAAGTTTTCCTTTTTTTTTCATAAGAAGAAACTATAAAGGTGATCAGAGGGAGCACGGGAATTATGTTATCTCAAGATGGATCACTTTTGACTGGATTCCAATGATTCTTGTTTTTTTTATTACCTGAACATGGTGAGTACTCTGCAGAAAGGAATCAAATTCAGATCAGGATGCAGATAATCACTTATAGATTTTTATCTGATGCTCATAGAAGAAGAAAAACGGAGCCGGTGCCATTAATTGCTGGCCACTTTACTCAAGCTTATTCCTTTGACGGTTTTGTGTCTCTGTAATTGCACGTCACTGTCTAAAAGCGGTTTATTTTTAAAGAGGGTAATTAAATGCTGGGAGTTGTTTCTGAGATTCCATCAGCCAACAGAGAAATTGTTCACAAAGGCCCTTGAACATTTGCATCCAGGCCAGCACATTTAATATTCTGTCTGCTCTTTGTGTCGAATGCTCATGCAAACTCACCATGTGGGACATGTTTGTCCCAGTTGTGAGCCAACTTTAGAAGAAAGCTCATCCAAGATTTTTCAAGTTTTATGGATGGGTGTTTGTCGTTGTTGTTGCCGAGGGGCAAAAACCTCCCCACTTCCAAAATGTCATCTTTTCAAAGCCGCAGACAGCCTCGTTTTTGTTTTTATCTTGATGGAGGTGCATATTAGACGTTATCCAGGGACCTTTGAAAGAGGAGGGAGCGCAAGAGGTCAGGATTTTATCTTACAGTGTCTGACATGTAATCCTTTAATTAAAGCTAAAACACTAGAAACCTCCAAAACAGTCCACAGTTTGTAGGTAAGGACGTGCTCAATAGTAACAGAAATGCACTAGGGAAGGAAGAATGAGGATAAGACATCATTTAAGCTTAGTGGTAGAGTCAGTTGTGGTTTCAAAGTCATGAAATCCAGGAGGGAAGGCTCTGATGAAGCTACCAAAGAGAGAGCAGGCTAATCAGCTTCTCAGCTTTGTTTGCAAAGGACTGCTGAGTGGTTTGTCAGGCAGATCTTTTCTTTTAGTCAACAAATTCCCGCCAGATTAGGCAAAGGGGCTACTGTTTCTGCCCAGGAAAACAGTAGCAGTGACAAACCGTTCATGAGAAATAGAATAGAAGACCACACATACAATTGTTTAACTATCAATATATGATTTAGCTCCCTTTACTGTGCATGTCATCACATTGAGAAGAAAGTTAGATTGGATGCCATGGAAACTGATGTTAGAGCTGCTGTACACTGACTTGTTTAACTTTCTTTCTGTCCTTTCATTTATTTTATTTTTTTTTACAGGCAAAAACTTCAACTTGGTGGCCAATTTCCTGAGGAGACACTACAGTCTCAGATGTGTTGTGAAGCAGGGTACGTGACCTACAAGTTTTTTGTGACTTCGTTCCAGTTGAAAGAATCTGAAATGGACATGTCAACGGTTCATATTCGGCAAAATTTCCCACAGAAAAAGCAAATCATCTGTGGTCCGCGTGTTGATTTTTCTCCCCCTCACTAGTTTTTATGTCCTGTCCCTACCTGCTCAGGGTGCTGCTGAGAGCAGGCAGCCATTAAGTTATTCCCATGAGAGGCTACTGGGAGTGGGAGAGAGAAAGACTGTGGGGCTGCCTACGGAGGGCAGTGAGAATCTATCTCCATGGGCCATCTAGTGTCTGTGACCCTTGGTCACCTTTTCATGGGACCAACATGGTTCTCTTCCTGTCAGTAAAGTTAATATCTGCTCCCTCAGGGCCCAGGCCTGGATGTGAAGGCAGCTCGGACCTGCTGCAGAGTGAGATGATGGCTTCTCTCAGCAGGTCCGTTATACATCAAATTAGGCCTAGCGCTCTGGGGTCAAAGGTTGTGCAGTTCAGTCCACTGGGTTCCCCATAGCCTACATCTGTGATTAGATTATTTTCAAAAGTTTCCTATTCATGCAGTTTTAGATTTATATCAGTTAAAAAGTTTTATGGTAATTGGCGAGACTTCTCCAGCTTCATGTGAAACACTACAAAGACAAATCAAAGACTGTTTTCAGTTAGAACTTTTAAACCTCACTATCGCTCATTTCTCATCCAGAATGTTACGGTATTTTGGGAAATAGCTGACTTCTCACCCTAATATCTAATTGTTCAAAGGAGCTGAAAACTGATATTATTATCATTAGTGAGGAAAAAGAAAGCTATGTTTGTCCTCTGGATGGCATGAAGAGCTGTATCCCATTTAGCGGTTAAGTTTGCTCAGGATATTTAAAGTGTTATGACATAACTAGTTAGGACTTGTTATTTGGGAAAAAATGGCTTTAGGCTCAAAAGAAAAGCTTTAACCTAAAATTGAAGTGTTCACTCAAGCGAAAACTGTCTTTTACTCTTTTTATTGTATGTGCTATTAATTTTCTGTTTTTGTCCTGATAGTGAAAGTGCCTGTGTGAATGGAGTGTTTAATCATAGCCATTTGTTTGTTAGGTAAGACAATGACTACCTTTGAATCTTTGGGAAGAGAAGATAATTCTTAAAGGAGGAAGCAAAAATATTTAAGAGCAGACTCGGGTAATATGATATATATATATAAAGAGGACACACTCTCTTCTACCGGTCTCCAGCTTTTTATTTATTGTTTAGTGTTCAAGTGATATATTTTCCTCAAAAACAACCAGTTATTTCTGAAAAGCCAACATTCTCCACTCTGCATTACAAAATAATCTTTTTACCAGCTGCTTAGCAGTGATTCAGCCCCTCCAAGAAACTCACAATGCAACCATTCTTAGTGGCAAGGAAATAGATGGAAGTTAGACACAATTTTTTAATTCTGTGGAGGTTTGGGCTTTTCCTGAGTATATTCACAATCCTATAAAGCCTTTGAATTAAAAGTAGTTAGCAGAATCAAATACAACACCAAAGTTGAATATATTGTCATATTTGTTGAATAAAGAATTGTCATCCTACTCCCTCTGTTAACCTGCCATCGTACGTTACGATGGAGGTGACGGACCTCTACGATGGGGCAGCTTTTTCACCAAAGGGAGCTTTGGGAACGGCTCATAGTTCAGAGTTATTCTACATTTGCTGTCTATTTGAGGTCCCCTTCAGCTGCTAAAGACAGATTTATTGTAAATGTATTGCACATGAAATAATATTATTGTTGTGCTGTGAAAGATCTTCAATTAAACAGTCATAATACTCCCAAAGGCCATTGTTAATGTAAAAGTTGCTAATATTTCATCCTTTTTACTCCGCTTATAAAGTTCAACAGTTATATGCAAGCTGCCATTTTCTCTGTGGTCTGAGGGATAGTAAATACTTGGTGTTTGTAGATGTTAATTCAGGCATCCACCACAATTCCTTCTGTCTGACTTTGACTCATAATTTGAGGTAAGCCCACATTATTAACCAGCAAGGTCCATGTTGTCTCTGCCCACTTTCAGATTTGCGCTTGTTCCCCGAACGATATGTTGTGTGTGTGAGCTGTCCAGAGGACGCCTCAGAGCACCAAAGAAACCCGAGCCTGGCCGCAGTGAGTGCTGTTTATGCTCCATTATTTCCTCTTCCAGCAGCTTGGCAAAAAGTCTGGTATTGGTCTCCGTGTTATTATAGGGGTGTGTTGCCAAATTGCACTCTCACATTATATATGCTGGTCGTATTTACAAATGGGTGGGGGCTGAACTCTGTTCCTAAGCAGGATGGCACCCGGACGGGGAGATGAAGGGGGGGTAAAGTGGGTTCCAAACCAGTGGAGTCACCCCCTCAGTGGACAAATTTCCTACTCTCACATTTCACAAATGCACCCACACAGTTCATGTTTTGAAAGACAGCTTTTCTGGATAGTTGGTCATTTGGATACAAAAATTTTACTCAATCAGCACTTTATATTTTTCTGGTCTTCTGAGCACCACAACGAGCGTCTGTATTGTCAGAATAGAGCAATCTTATCATTAGTTAATTACACATTTTTGACCAAACTAAGGCAAGCATTTAAATGTAGCCAGTTTCTTTGTCACAAGTAGATCAAGTAGTTAGTTATTTTGGTTTCTTAACTTGATTCATTGGACGCTGAAAAAGTATTGTTTGAAAGTCGCTATCTTGTTCTGTTGTCTTTTTTCCATTCCATTCCAATCAAATATCCTTTGGTCGGTGTTCATTTGATCCCAAACTCCCCTGAGTATTCTGGGAAACAGTGGTGGAGCCTCTCACCTTGGCACTCACATCAAGCAAAGACATCTCTCCCATCACATCCCATGATCAGTGGCCTGCTGTTTTTCTGTGGGCTTTTGCTATTGTTTCCCTTTGAAATATCTCTAGACTTTCCATAGTTTGGCCTCCAATGAAAGCAGTGATTGTAATATTTTTAGTGGAGCAACACAGTCGTCAGTGAAAAGTTCAGATTGTGTAACCAATTTTCCATTTCAAGGAGGCACTGCTGTCGATTGCGTTCCTCTGCTCAGGATGTGGTTCTTTGGGCTCATACAGTACAAGCAGAGGGAATTGGAGGGTGGGAGTCTTGTGGCGGGGCTCTCACCAACTCTCAACCTCGAGCCTGGTTTGTAAGGGAAAGATACCAGACTGAGTGGCTGAAGGTTTTTCACATGACTAAAAGAATAATTTGTTTACATCCCGCTCGCTGTTTTTATGTGTCAAAGTTTTTTTCCTCTTTAATGGTGCCAAAAACATAGAAAATCTGAACGGTGCTGTTAGGTATAATTGCGTTGCTGTCAACTGTTCATGTGTTCTTTGGAGTTCCACGTCAGAGTTAATTCCTTCTTTTAAAGGGTGTCTTTACCCACTGCGCTTGACAGCATTCGTGTCCCAAAGGAATGCCACATTTCCCTGTGTTTAGAGAGGCTTTGAGTTTGTTAGGATTCAGTTTTGTGTGATTTGCCAAACAAAAATCTCCAACCACAGTGGAAATGTAGACTCATCAATTGGGAACATCTTGTAAGGTCAGGGGGTTATGTTGTTAGGGGAACTGAGGTAACATCATAGTTGGCATTTTGTCCTGTAAAATAAGCTCATTCCTCATGCCAACACATGAGAATATTGAATGTTTAGTTGCTCAGTTTGCTTTCCTAATGCAGTTAGATACCAGTTATTGACTGGATTATTAAATATTGAGCAGAGGAGATTTAGACCTCTTTGTATGTACAGTGTCTTCCAGTTGAATGTCTTTTCGGTTCAGCCACAGATTGAGGCTGAGTTGATAGCATTTGTAGGTGAGCATGTGATTTTTTTTCTCTGCATTTTAAAATCTGTTACTCCTCTGCGTGATCAAACTCAGAGGATCAAACTTACTCAGCAGCGGTCGACGCTGTCAGGTGACAAGCCGTAGGAAATCAAAGCTGCTCTGCTACAGTGTTAGTGAACAAAATAGCTGTGTTTATGAAACTTAAAGTCTAAGTTTCATAAACTTCAGACATACACCGCAGGCCAGAAGTCACTGGAAAGTTTGAGACGTACCAAGATATCAAGGTCCTACTGGTTCCTATTTGCAAACTGTGGGCCCAATTGATATATAAAGCAGTGTTTTTCTCTGGGAAATTTGCTGCTTGCAAGTTGTCATTTGGATCCTTCCAAATAATACAAATTTGAATCCTCAAGCCCGTGGCCTCGTCCACCGTGCTGAAGGCTGTAAACAAAACCATGTCCGGCACATTTTGGTGTCTTTGAGCACTTTCCGGAGTTCAAACATTGTCAATACGTTCAGTTTGAAGGGTGCACACTTTGAATTCTGGAAATGGACCAAAAAAACAGTTCAGGATGTTTGACGATGCAAGACAGAGCAGACCCCACAAACTCACTTTTCCATGTTGAAAAGAAGCGTCTTGAGAGCAAAGGAGACATTACTGTCAGTGGACTCTCTTTTTTAGAGTAAACACAGTGGAGGAGAGCCGAAGATAACTGTCCATACCTGCCTCATATTTTTACCTGGCAGTTTTACAAACCTCCAGGCCAGACAACCAGGATGAATAACTACCCCCGTGGCAGCTGGATAAACTCTCTCCCTCCCACATTACCGTATTGGCTGCATTGCTGGTAAAACTTGCACAATATAACAATGTTCAGTACAAGTCCATATCTCTGAGGTGAAAGAAATATCAATATCTGCAGTGTAAGTTTGTGATTTCACTCCTAAATCTTTGGCCCCAAAATGTACAGTTCTTAATTAAAGCTTATCTGAGATCTGCCATTCATCATTCTCAGTGGACACCATCCAGTCGTTTCAGAGCGGGAAATGCCATGCATTTTCTTATGATTTTAAGACCTTATTTTATTTGCTTGGCAATTGTTTCAATCATTCATGTTTGGCTTGGTGGTTCATAGGACATTTTTCTGTGATGTGACAAACTCAGAGCACATATTTATTTCAGCTTCGCACAGACTTTAAAGTTGTGACTGTCACATCTTGAGCTGCTTGGAAGTTGCTTGTGACATCCATCTTGGTCTGATGCACTCCATCTGTTATGACCCAGAAACCTAAAAAACAAATGTGGTTCTGAGGTAGACGCATTGAACCTACTTTGTTTGCATGAGCCAGTGGGAGGCAAACAAGTCGCTTTGTGTTACACAATGTCATTTTTTCCCCCCTCTTTTGACATTTGAAGGTTTAATCCCCTCATAAAAAGTTTCTTGTTGTTTGTGAGTCAGCACCCACAGCCAGGAGGGCAGCATGGGAAGGAAAAGCGAGTGTTTAGGATTGTAGCCCTTGTTTTTTAGTCAGGCAAATAGTGGGCAGCTGAGGTGAGTGGCGTGCTGTGCCCCAGAAGTTTGGATCAAAGGGAGCGCAGATGTGTTTCCAGTCCCCCCGCCCCCTCTCCTGAGCTCTGGACGAGTCTGTGTGTTTATTCATGACCTCAGCATGTCTCTGTTCTTCACACGGCTCGCAACAGCTAGTGGCAGTCCTTTCCCAAGTGCCCCATGTCTGTCGTCCTCCTCAACACCAAGGCCATACTCATGGATGCCGTCTCCTGTGGGGCATCACTTCCCCTCACCGCATCCGGCGTTAAAGTGCTGTCATTGATTTCGACAAAGTGTGTTAAAAAAATTAACAGCTCGTCTTAATCCCCATATGGGTGGACCCAAACTCGTCATTGTTTCAGGATAAGAACCGTCATCCATTTGAGACAAGTATGCGCCCATGCATGTTTGTTGACTTTGTTGCAGGGATGATGTGGTGAGCTTAGACAAACATGGCATGCTTTCTCTGAGGGAGCAGGGTGGGTGGAAGATGATGGGTGGAATTTGTGGACTAAATTCACAAACATCTTTGCAGGAGGCTTTTTTTTTTTTTTGTTAAATCGTTCTCATTTTGTTTTTGTTTTTTTGTGCATTTCAAGGATTTTGCAAGCTTCCCTGAAAAGCTGAAAAGCAAGGCAGTGATCATAGTCTCTGGAGCTGGAGGGACTCAGGACCTTGATGTTAACCCCAACAATTATCTTATAATAAATGAGCGAGTAATATGATTAATATGATTTATAGCATGGCATGATAGGTAGGATGTGTAAACATTAGACAAATCCAAGAGCAATCAATCTAGCTTCTACTGTGTCAGATCAGAAAACACGTTTACATAGCATGACTCAAACTCTACACTCAGATAATGCGGTTGTAATATGAATCACACCAGCATATATACACAAAACTACACCCAGATTGGGCATAGGTGCTTTGCACATGCTCCAGTATATTGAATTCATATTTTTAGAGAAGTTCATGAACCTTTAAAACTATGCGTTTGGGACTCGTTTTGAAGTACATAAGCTTTTGTGATGCACATTCCCAAGCCTGAAACCTCACAAGAGCATCCACTAGTCAGTTGACGACTCTGGTTTTCAGCCCCACACCGCAACGTTTAGCCTTCTGGGCTTTTGATGGGCTTTTTTCCCTTTTTTTTTTTCTTTGTGGCAATGACTGCAAATTCACGTGCGTCCTTTGTGCAGTGAATCCACTGACAGATAATGTGGGGATATGTCACGCCATGTTGTATTCTGGGACAGGAGATCCTTCATCAGGAATGGGCTCTCTTAACCTTCCTTTAAAAACACAGTTGCCTGGTAGGCCTTTATGTTTTGCTAGAAACAGCAAGATCTACTTGGGAAAAGATGAGACAAATGCAAAAGGGAGTTGTATTTTTTACTGCACCTCTGAATGCAAGATCTGCTAAACCTGATCCCAGAAATGAGACCCTTAACAAAACCCAACCTATGTTTTTTAGGCTAATTTAAAGTAAAAAAAAAAAAAGAATTCAGTACTCCACATTCCTTCAGTGATGTGTACATTTTATGGAGCATTTACAGTGGATTTTTACAAGTCACTGTACAAATGATAAATGTGCGTTTACATTTTAAAACATGTGGTTAACACCTGTTTTGCTCCAGTTGAACTGGACAGATGTGTAAAACGTGGTTTTGTCTATAGAAACACTATCCTGAAATTCTGGGTCTTTACATTCAAAAGACTCAGGAGGCAAGAATATGATGTCTTCATCAAACTGACATATGTCATCAACCTTGCATTATTGATGTATGCATGTACGAAAAAGTTCTAAAGAGTTTTGTTAGAGGTAGCCGAATGTCCCACAGCCCACTACCCTATTTTTTTATGTTTTTTTTATATCCTCGTATATATCCTCCAAGCCCCATATATAAATTGATGTCCTTGCAAAATATCTCACAAAACCCTTCAAACTAACAAAGAACTAGTCTGAAATTGTCAAATGAATACTGGCGGTTGATTATTTGGAATATGTTGTGCAAATTGTCTGTTGTTGTGGGATCAATGAGAAATGTATTGAAATACCAACCAAATGAAGTCACCCTGGGCTGCCGTGGAGTCATTAAGATCAGTCAAAGAACATTTTGCCGTATCAGTGCATTTCTTTCAAGAAGATAACCAACATAAGCTCCTTGTCTGTGCTCCTACCTTATCAGAGGTGATGGAGGAGAATCAGGTTCTTTTATGGAGTTTCTTGTTTGTTATCTTTTTTAAGTTGTTTCCAGCCGTCATTCAGAGTCGGGGCACGCTACGTGAACCTGCACTGGTATCCTTTTAAACCAAATGAGTCATTCTTTCTGCTCCCCTTGCCCTTTTGCCAGGCTTATCTTTATAATCTGACATCCAGATGTGCTGCCTGAGGTATAGCTATATTTTTATGGCGGCAGCAGGGCCACTAGTGGGAGGACAATCTTGGTCGGCTTGACATGTTAGATCACTCGGAGAGTTTTGAAGCTTTGCGTGTGTGTTAGTGTGTGTGTGTTTTTTTCTCTTTTTGTGGGGGGGGGGGGGGGGCCCCCCAACTGTGAGGTAAGGGGGGGTTAGCTGACATTTTTACCAACCACCATCCCTTCTGATAGCCCACCTCAGTTCCTGCTCCATACTTACTGTTCTATCCACAGGGTTTGTAAGAAGTAAATTGTTGTTCGTGCACTGTCTCTTGTTCTCTGGCTCTAACTTTTGCACTTTCTTCTGTAGCAGTTACACACAAAACGTTAAATCCAATAAAGCCTTAAAAGCAATATGTAAATTAGAAGTTAAAATGTATTGTGTTCAGTTTTTCAAATCTGAGACGTGTTTGTTTTTTCTTGTTACTTGAAAAATATTAAGAAACACAATCTATCTAATGGTCTTTGGTTTTTTTAATCTGTTTTAAAAAAAAATGTTTTTCTTGTGGTGTTATCTTTTTTCCACTGTGAAAACAAGAGCTGAAGCAATTGGTTTAAAGCATCAGTTTAATAGTGTTGCAATGGTTACTGCAGTTATGTTTGGTTTGAACTTGAACTGTTGGGGATTACTGGCAGCAGCGATAAGTGAAGCAATGCCAAAACAGAGATATCTGTTACCACATCTCATCTAAAGGTTTAAAAACACAGCTGAGGAAGCCATTGATATGGCAATAAAATTTGGAAATTTTCCCATTTTATCTTTACTGACATGTTGTACTTGTTTTGTTTTGTTTTTTCCTGATTTGAACATGTGATAGTAACGCATACTTAACCCTCTTGTGGGTGAAATTAGAACTACAAAAACAGACGGTAAAATAAAATGAGCAAAACCTTTTTAAACATGTTTCACAGATTAATTTGAAAAAGTTAAGGACCTTTAAAAAAAAAAAAACCCACAAGAGATCAGTTTGTGGTTTTCAATTTTTTTTTCCTGTGACATCCATGAGGTCTTGTGAAGTTTCTAAGACAGGAACAAAGACACACTCAAATTTCCCAGAGAGCCTCCCTTTTCCTTCTTGTTGATTTTTCTTTCAAGTTCATTTTCAAGTAGGATTTATTCATATTTAGCAGACGATAATGCATATCAAAGCATTACAATGCATGAGGGTAGCACCCACATTTTTCTCAGAATTGTTTTGGTTGGGGTGGGTGTTTCATTGTGTAGGCGAATACAAGCGTATACACAAGTCACTGGCCTAATTCCATGTCTAGCAGTAGCTGAGGCTATGAGAGAGAGACTGAACCTCTGCCCACACTGTAGCATGACTCCATCTCTGCACAAAGAAGAGCTTGTGGAGAACTTCCTGTGCGAGGATTCTTACACATGTGGGCATGCTTAAGAGACAGTGGAAGTTGGACAGGATTATTCTGGGAGACGCTCCTCCTTTTGCTGTGCTCTTTCTCCCATCTTGTCCCTTCCGTCTTGTCTCCAGTTCACTCATTACTAGACTGTTGTTTGGCCTCCTCATTCAATCCCCTCCCCTCTATCCCAACACACACACCAGAGAGCAGATACCGGTTGTCTACATTCAATACAAAGCCACAATGCCCAAGCTTGCCATAACAGCTTGGGACAATTAATCCTTTCCCCTTTTTCTTGATGGGTCATGCTGTCACTAGAATGATAACAAAGGGGAAAAGACCCTAATGATTTTTTCCCCCATTTGTAAAAACCGGCGGATGCCAAAGCTCACCACACTGGCTTTTCCCATCCTAAAGTGTGCATTGACCATTTTACAAACAAGTTTATAGAATGGCAATGATCTGAAAAATCACATATTAAATAAACAAAGTGGCTAGAATGTTGAATTTTCCAGCATCCAACATCTGCGTGGTTGTATTTCACAACTACAGCAGTGTATAGAGTTTTTCAGTCATGCAAGGGGCATAAGTCTGTGAACTGCATCAGCATCTGGTCCAACACTTTAGTCCAGAGTGAAATAACCTAGCTACTGTTGGATGGGTTGTTGTTACACTTGGCCAAAGAATAAATCTTAAATCCTTGACAATTTGTCTTACACCATCAGTGGGTTAGGTTTTACTCTATGAGACAAATATTGGAAAGTTATCCCAAAGAGTCCCGAAAGAGTTCATCTTCCTGACTGGTAATCAATCCACATAATTTTCAGTAATAGTGTTTTTTTATTGACAGATCTCAATAGATTGTTGATCAGGAAGGACACTTGGCACCCATGCCCATCAATTTCTCAGGAATTGATAAAGAAATAAGAATAAAAAAACAACATAATTGGGAATCAATTCATTCAATTTAGCTGTAGTTGTAAGTAGATTATCTAGCATGGCTACTCTGCAATGTGGCGTATATTTCATTTAAGGTAAATTGACTGGCTTTCAACCTCAACGTTCTGCTCAATTTAACATCAGCCTCTCCTTTTCTCTCATAAAACCAGAGTTTGTTCTTGGTCAGCCAAGGAAAAGACCTGTGATTAACCTTCATTAGAGGCCTGTTGAGGGCACATGTTGGTGATATCCAATTTTTGAATTGTACCCTGCTCTTCTTCAGAAGTTTCGCCTTTGTACGTGGATGTGTTGAACTTTCAGCCCTTGTATGCCAAATTAATCTGAGTAATAGCAATGTTTGATGGCCAATGGTGAATGGCAGCGTTTGGAGTAAATATTTTAAACAACTAAGGACACAGATGAAGGTAGTAACGTTATTTCATCGAAACCTACTTTTAAAAATGCTTCCTGCTTGTTTGAGTTTGACCAGTTGAATAAAAATTCAGCTGAATCCACAAACTTGTTCATAAAAAATAACCACTTTTTGCATTGCATATGTTGCTCTATTGCATGATTAATTATTTCATTGAGTCAGTTCTACTTGCTGTGCCAGCGTGGTCACTGTTAAGTAAGCTCCCACAGCCAGTAGAAAGAATCACACTGATGAGACTAATCATTTTCATCCATGTTTATGGCTTTAGGCAGCTGCTTTCGACAGTTTTAAATGGAGGACCACTTCTTTCCGGCGTTCATGCTGTTATGAAGTGCCTCTAAAGGCCTTATGTTGTACCATTTAAATACAGTGTTGGCCATACTATCTGACCTAATTGTGCAAACTTTAAGAATTTTTACTGTAGAGCGATGGATTTCTGACAAACTATGCCATATCAGGGAATGTGTGCCAGGAAAAAGAATAATTTTGTTTACACCTATTTTGTTTGTCCTCTATAGAGTGAACTGAGTGAACAAAGCAGATCAGAATACTTTTCCTATGTGGGAAAAAACCAAGAGCTTTTAAGCAGCCCGACAAAAACAAAGAAGTCTGTGCTTCAAAAGATGTAAGTATGATGTACTGCAGAACTTTCCAACCCCACAAGTCATAGAGGGCACCCAAGTATTTATTCACATCCTTTTAACTTTTTCAGAGCCAAACAAGCCAGTGTCCAGCGAGAGCTCTGTGGTTCCACCATTGGGATGGAGCAGAATGACCCGAAGGTCTGCCCCAAAAACCAGAGGCTTGAACTTAAAGCTGCAGGGTCAGAATCAAGCTCAGAGGCTGTGGCCATATCTGTGCTGAAGGCCCACCCGGAGGCAAACCACAGTGTGCCTTGCAACAGTGTGTTAACCGAGTCCAAGGCTGAAACACAGACTACACAAAAGCAAAAACAAGAGGGTGAGCATGAAATAAGTAATGGTACCAGCAAGAGCAAGAGGTGCAAGCCTAATGATGATGCAGGGGAAGACCCTCATTCACAGCCGGCCAAGAGAACGTGCCTTGGAAGACCTCCAGCCACAACGCGCAATCATTCCAGCGAGCACTCCGTGCAAACATCCAAGCGTGACCTTCCTCCTCTGCCCCATCTTCCATTCGAAGCCAAGGCAGAGTCCAAGGCTTTCCCTGTCTCAGAGTGCAAGAAAACCACACTGGAAGTAGAGCTGCTTACTCCAGGGAAACAGGCCCAGAGGCTCCCCCTCACAAGCAATAACACAGCAGAGACAAACCAAAACAGGCTGGCCACAAGTCTGAGGGGCCTATCTGTCAAGCCTGCATCCTCGGGTTCCTCTATTGGTTCCAGATCCACTCTTGGAGAAGGGGGGAGTGAAAATTTGCCCAGAACCTCGAGATTACGACGACTGAAGAGGTCCTGAAGGGGAGAGACAAACTACAGTAAAGATCCCTGACGCCACAGTGATACAGATGACATTCTGTCAGGCTGCATGTTTGTAGTTCATGTGGTCTACTCAGATGACTGTACATGTGTCACTTGGAACTACAACATCTATTCTCCTTCACATATGCTGCTCATACCATGCACACACAAATAGATCAAATGCTGAACACTTTGTCAATTGATACACGAGCATTTGAGTTATGCTTTTGTCAAATACTTGAAACAGACTTTGCCTCCACCCTTAAGTAGTGGTGGTCAAGAGGCTCACAAAAAAAAAAAAAAACGACAACCTTTAATTGGAGTTTAGATTTGGTTTTGTGTTAAAGATTGGGGATTTCAGACAGGCAGGAGCCGAGCAGTACGTCATAGCTTTCAGTCTGAAATACTGGCTCCTACGCGTCTGAAAACTGTCCAGTATCCCTGCTGAAGCTCTGATGTGATTTATAGTGGTTTCCAGATTTATTTCATCACCCCATTCTAAAAAATGTACTTTTCTAGTTCAGTTCATTCATATACAGTTTGCTCAGTGCTCGGTTGCTAAGCACCTGAAAATAATCTCTAATTTGGAGGGCATTATGCAGCTTTTCTGCTGAACTTCAACCAAATATGTGTGACTGTGTGAGCAAATGTGGTATTATTTGGAACCCAGCATTTGATGGAGCAAATTCCCTCATTTGAACATCAACATGTTCCATTTGATGACATTATTTTTTATATATATCTTTTTTCCCCTGTATTGTATATTAATAAATGTGCTTTCGCCAAAGTAGAAGCTTCCAAAAAGGATGATGTGCTAGTAAACCAGATGGCTTGAAATAGCATGTTGATCTTATTTCATTACTTTGATTCCCTCACACACAGAGCCCAGATTGACTAATGCTTGTGGCAGCGAGGTCTGTATGTGAACCTATGATGAGCCAGTACCAAGAGCTTATTCTGTTCTTATCAAGACAATATGGCAGATCAGTGTGACTTATCAAAATGTTGTAAGCCCATGTTGCCTTGCCCTTTATCTTGTCAAGCAGACTCTGAATTAGTGTCTAAAACCGCAGCTATCTATCTGAGTTGGCTTGTTAGAACAGTTTTAAGGCAAACCTGCTTCTTAAACCAGATTAACAAGGAAAACATTGTCTGGAGATCACGAGGCATGAGTGTATTTATATCCCTCGCGTTGACCTAATACAAGGACAGCCAGCTACAATGCAGTTAGCTGTAAACATATTTGGACAGAGACCTCGATTGAGTCTGTGATGTCTCTCCAGCCCGTTCCCACGGCACCTTCCTGAGAACGCTTCCATTCGCCCTGACATGTTTGGCCTGACACGTTACAGACAGACTCTTCACCCGCTCTCCAGAACAAAGACAACTTTAATTCTCTTTTCATACAAAATATTTAATAAATATGACTTTCAAAAATATATTGCCAGATCAACACAGAATTCTCAAGTTCATAACACACAAGTCAAAAACAGGACAAAATGTTGCCATGATCTCAAAGGGGTTAACAAATGAGATAAAACATGTCTTTAGAGCCTCATTTTTTTCCTCTAAGAAAAGAAACAAATGTGCACAGAAACGAAGCAGACTTGAGCAGAGCAAGGCAGTGTATTTGATCCGGTCTACAGTGTTCCCATTGCCCCCCTACTTTTCAAGTACTCGTCGGCCTAGCTTAAGATATCACGCTGACTGAAGCAGATGGGAATTCTGGTGCATCACATGGATGTGTCTTGCCTTGGAAGCTGGTGGATTTTGACAGTCTTTGTAATTTGTCGGAGTTGAAATGATGCTGCTGAAGAAGTTTTGTTCCCTTAAGTATTTTATTTATCCATTAGTGACAAGCAATATGTCTGCCACCATGTCCAACCCTTGCAGCAGCTGTGAACTTTTGTCATCTTAACCTCATTTGCCTTCAATTAAGGTCCTGGCAACAAGTAATGAAATGTCAAATGTAGTGAAACAAAAAAAAAAAAGACTTTCAAGGCCAAAAGTGCCCCTCTTTTGTCCTCTGAAAAGTTCTTTTAAATTTGGCTTTTATTGAATTAAATTGAGAAAAGGAAATTTAGTCAATGAAAGAAATGGTAGGCTTATGCAGCTATCAAAACCTTCAAACTAGACAGGACATATAAATAAAAAGGAATGATATCTTAAGGCTCTTGATTATTAAGTTAATAAATCAAATATACACAATGATTAATAAAAAAAAAAATGTACATATCTACAGTTTCTAAATTGTCACATAAATTCTTCATATTGGCAGCAACTGCTGACATTGAACCCTTTCTTGTCCCCACCCTCCCCACTGAAATAAAAATAAATAATAAAGTGGATCTTTTTTTTTCTTGTTTGACAGTTGCTGAAGTCTTAAGCTGAAAAGGCACTTTCTCCAAATAGAACTAGGAATTCAAGCTCAAACTAAAAATAATTAGCTCTAGTGTTGAACGCGTCGGATAGTTTTAGTCTTCGTACTACGATTACACCAGGAGTGGCTTCCATGTGTCCACTGGATTAAAAAAAAAAAAAAAAAAAGGGAAATGAAATGCACAGGAGGACACCTTTTGCAAATAGTTCTACAGAGAAATGTAGACCAGTGCCTTGTGTTTCCAGCCAACCAAAGCAACTGTCACTGCCAGTGTAAGCCAGCTTGTCAAAACTTAAATTAACACGGGGAATATCTGAAAATACTGTGGGGTTACAGCTGACATGGTCGTACTACACATGCCGAAGCTCCCCGGTTTCACCCACCACCTGGGTGTGAAGGCATAAGGCTTGGTTGCACAGCAACACAGCTGTCTGCTATACGATGTAGTCCATCCTATTTATGCTGTTTGCCGTCTCCAAGTCTCTGTTGTCCTGTTTATTAGTCCAATTCGGATGCTTGGATGTCGAGTTGGGATTGGAGATGGACGCCTTCTCGTCCCTCTCCACCAGTGTGTACGCTGGCTGTTTGGCAAAGCGGCTCTTTTGTAAGTGCCTCTCCTTGTCGTCCTCATCCCCATCGGGATGATTTGTCCTTATTTTGGCAATGATGGAGTTCTTGTTTTCGTAGTCTTTGATGGCCACCGTGAGGCCCACGTGCTTCTCTATAGGGTTCTTGATCTGGTTGAGCTGTTCCCGCACGTTGTTGGTGGTGTTGTCCTCAGAGCCGGACGCAGACGGTCCGTTGTGGCTGCTCTGTTTCCGCCGGCGCCGCATACACCACAGCAAGATAGACACCAGCACAAGCACCCAGATGACAATAAAGATGGAGCTGAGGAGGGGCACAAGGTAGTCTGATGGGAGAAGACAAAAAGCATGTCAAAAACACGTGGGTTGAACAGTTGACTTCCATATAGATGTAGCCACAACATTAAATAAAAAACTATGTATTATGTTACAAAGTCAGGCCTTTATGCCTGTAGTAGCCAAACGTACAACCTGATTTCTGCACCGTAAACACAGAGAGAGAGAGAGGCTGTTTCTACAACAATGGAAGCAGTACACCGTCACCATGGTAATGTAATAGCTGAATAAGCCGATCTAAACCCACGCAGCCAAGCCACTCAAGCTTCCGTGCCACATTTAGGACATGGCTTTATCTCTTTCTGATCTTGATGGAGGAAAAAAATAAAAATCCTTCCACTTAGTTGTACTCAAGCAAGTGTGTGCACGTCTGGCAAAGGTGGACTTACCAGTTTTGCTCGGGCTTGGCACCCGCACTTCAGTGATGGCAGAGATGATGGTGTTGTTCCCACTACGTTTGCTGACCAAGTCGATTATCCTGTCCGTGATCTCTTTAATGGGGCTGCGGTCCGAGCGATGGTCTTCAGTAGACTAGAATAAAACATTAAAAAAAGGTTAACACAACCTTTAACACAAATAACCAAACCTACATCCGTCGTGAAGGAAATTAGAGCATCTGTATGTGCTGCTAAGCATGCAGGCTGCAGTTAGAAATGCATCAATAGGGGAACGTATGGCAGACGGAGTGGTAGGTGGTGCTTACAATGCAGACGTGGATCTCATTGCTGGCCGTGAATGACGGGTCACAGATTATGGAAACAGAATGCTCCAAGGAGAAATTTCTAACCACGTTCAAGCTCCTCAGCTGCTTACAAACGGCCTCCACAGTCAATTTCTGCACACGAAAAGGAGACCAAGCAAATGTTAGCGCATATGGATCAAGACTAAAAGGGGAGAGCTAAGTTTGCATTTTGGCAAGAGGTTCAACATCCTATCTGGCTGAAATCTACCCAATTTAGATTAAAGACCACAGGCTCATATGCTTGTCACCATCTGCTGGGATACTTGTTAGGCAACTGGTGAGTGAACGCTCTGTGTGCTGACAGAGGCAGCAGTGTTCTTGTTAAACTGGAGTCAATTATTTCCTGATTTTAAACTTTCTGTTTGGTAAGATTAGATTTTTCTAAGGACCACTAAAACAGATATAAAAGAAGATGAATTATAAAAGCACATTCCTTAGACATAAATCACATTAAATACATGAATGAATCCAGGGCAGTGAGCTCTCCTTAAAACCTGATCTTTCACATGTTTCCTTTTAACTTTGGACTCCACCCTGTTGCAGTGGTAACTCACTGAGGGCATGATCTCCTTGTTCAACGTAAAGGTGATGTTGGCACAGCTATTGTCCTGGTAACATGAGCTGGGGTGACATTTGATGGGTGGCTGGGGAGGGTTGGAGTGCCAGCACTCTCCGAGCTCATGGCAGGGCTTCACAAAGCAGTGGCCCTCCCTGAGGGCCATGCAGCTCTGGCCCACTGGACATCCACCTTGACCTTTGGCAGCCAGTTCACATGGCCTGGGGCCACACCACATCTGCAAAGTAAAACATGACGATTAATCATGCCAAGTACTGCGTGGATACTTTTGTTAACACCACACAGGTATTAAAAAAAAGCATATATATACACATTTATAATATATATAAACATAATATATTAACATAACCTGCCAAGGTTAGTAAGGCATCGCACATGCAAGACACAACAAGAGTTTTTGCATTTGAGTTTGAGTTGAGTTTTCCTTCCTTTTTTTAAAAAAAGCCAGTGACACCAGTTAACCCAATTTAAATGCATTCGTTCCTTGTTCCCCATTTTGTGTGCCAAGAGATCCGCTTTGTACCACGAGTTCCCGTTTGCAGAAGTACAGATAAATCAGGCTGAGACAGACCTGGCAGCCTACGGTTTCTCTTACAATACCAGATCACTTTCACCCTGCGAGCTGCTGCAGTAAGACGCTATTGTTCAGATGGTGGTTAGATAAGCATGATAACGCCACCTCAAGCTGCTGCTGTAAATCATCATGTCCTAAATCCACTCTCACTGTGGGAGACTCTGACATGGCATCCGACACCGGTTCCTCACAGCAATGTTGTGTTTCTTTTCAAAACAAATTGCATCATCCCGACAGAATTTGACGCTTCCAAACCAACTCGACCATGAAACACACACATACAGGGTTGTCGGAGCCCAAGAGAAACTTCACCTGTGTCTTAGAACAACCATAAATGCAAGGTATGAAGCGGAAAAGAGACTTTGGCTAACGTTCACCGCCACTCGTCTTGCAATGGGTTTCAGTGAAACTGTGCACTTCAAGACCGAACAGAGCGATATAAATATTTGATTTTTGCACTGCATTCATGTTTAGTGAAGACAGGGTTTGTTCAGATGTACCTTTGTACAAAGAATTTTCCCATTGGAGCACTGGCAAGTGTTGCAGTCTTCATCCCAAGTGGTTCCGTCTTTCGCGACATGGCTCTTAACAGAGCAATGTTTTTTGGTCACTGCATCAAAGAGAACCATAGTATTAGAAATACACTCAAGACAAAGGTTTTGTCATTCCTGGATTTAAAAAGAAACAACTTTAAAACATTTCAGGTTCGTACTTTCTTGACAGTGGGGTCCTGTCCTATCTGGTGGACACAAGCAGCGGTATCCGTTTATCTCATCCACACAGGTGGAGCCCGGGGTACAGGGAGAGGACTGGCACTCATTAATATCTGTCACAGAGGAGAGGAGCGGCAAATAAATGGTTTCTTCATGGAATAAAGAGCACAGCCAGACAGAATTCAAATATTGGGTTAAGCAAATCAGCACACAAATCTAATTCTATGCCTACTTTCACTGAGATCATGTGTCATTTTAACAGTGCGCACACACACACACACAAGATAATAAGAAACAAGCAAACATGCTTTAAATCAGCCCTGGCTGGACTTTTTTGCTCCCTAGCAGCTTTCATAAAAAGGCAGCGTCATTAGCAGGTATGCAGGCTGGACTTAGTAGAACAAAGGGTTCGCAATGGGAAAGAATGTGGCCATATGAAAGCCTTTAAGAGGGAAAACAATCTGTGTAATCAGTGTCAGAGAGCATGGTTGATTAGATGCCGGCCTGCTAAGCTGGTTTACCCCAGGGACTGCAGCATGACCTGCGGAGGTGACACCAGAATGGCTCCACTTGGCAATAAACCCAGTGTGCTCATTATTACCCTACGAGACCGTCCATTATTACTGTGATGATCCTGCAGTTTGGGCATTGTGCAGCTTTCTGGCTCAAACCTTTTGGGGTCAGGGAGGAACTGGTGATGGGACTAATACTCACTGATCCGACAGTCTGGACCCGCAAAGCCAGGAGCGCACTCACAGCGGTACCAGTTATCCCCATCAACACAGGTTCCACTATTGTAGCTGCAGAGAGGATACAGAATGTGTATCTTTAGGTGCTTTAGAAACTGCTTTTTTTCCCAGCCGAACAATTTCCGCTGGAATTTTCTCACCACACACACACACACACAACATAACATTTTTTCAAAGACAATAGAGCTACCAGTTCAATTCTTTTTATTGGACGAGAGTGATAAGGGTCGGAAGTCAGCTCCAGAAGCGTTTGGTTAAATAAGAGACGCATGTGGGAGTTCCCAAAACAGGGTTAGCCGATTGCATCCCAGGAATGACAGACAAGGAAGGGCGTTTGCCCACTTCTCAGCAGAGAAAGCATGCAGGTGAGGACTGACAGGAGGTGCAGCTTGTTTGCATCTGCTGAGAATCTACAGGAAATATTTGGCTTACACTTACCATGGGTGGGGACTGCAGTCATTGGTATCTGAAAACGAGACAAAAACAAAATTAGAAGATGCAGGGAGGGAAGGGAGAAAACGTAGAGCCTTTGATTTATCCTCCCTTTGCGTAGGAGTGTTCAGAACAAATTGCACCAAAAAGCAAGTCTGAGCTTGTGTGTGCAGAGGTGTGGTAGGGCCCGAACACTGTACTACCTGGTTACTCTACGCCATTAGCGAAACAAATTTCAACTCCCAGTTCTAAAGGAGTTCCTGTTTGATCCACATATACCTATATACCCATATGCCTCTTCTCCATCACACGCAATTGCTACAAGCTGAACGTGTGTTACGGAGAATATGTGTAAAGGCCATAGATCTCATATACTTGGGGTGGAAAAAAGTGGAGGAGGGCTGTAGAACAAGCAGACATGTCACTGTTTTGACAGGAATGTAACGACAAGGGGGGAGGAAGGGCTGTGTGTTTGTGTGCTGGACTAGAAGAAAGGGGGAGAAACATCTGTCTCCACTTTCCTGAGCCCTTTTTCTCCCTCCTCCTTTGCTTTCTCATCTCATGGCAAACAGCAACCAGCAAGGAGAAAGATTTAAGAAGGAAAAAAATAGCTACAGATCAAAAGATGACGGGAGAGTCGGTTTCAATCAGATGCAGGAGTTCACCTCTGCACTCCATAGCGTGGTTTTATTATTTAATAACAATAACTGTCCATCTTTATCTATTCCACTTACTCTGAGTGCACGTGGGTCCTTCCCAGCCTTCCTTGCAGACGCAGGTGAAAGACTCTCCTTTCACCACACAGGTACCTCCATTCTCACAGGGGTTAGGGAGACAGCTGGAATTTTTGGCTGTGAAGGAGGGCGGCAGGGGGTTAACAATCAGCAAGCTTACCCAGCTCTAAACAGGACCACAAGTGCAACCACACATCTCACACATCACATTACAAATGCTGACTTAGCCTTTTTTATTCAATCCCCCCCCCCCCCCCCTACACACACACACACCAACACTTTGATGTCTGCTGTCAAAGCAATGAGGGATTTTAAGTGGATTTCTGTCAGTGCTGAGATGACATGGAGAGAACGGCAAGGGAGAGAGAAGGGAGTGAGGGGATAAAAAACACACAGATCTGACAAGTCAGTTTAATATCTCAGACGAGACAAAACTTATCTGTGTGAGCACCGAACAACAGTGCGAGCTGCGGTGACCACACGACTCACCTATGTTACAGGTGGTACCCTCCCAGCCCGGGGAACACTTGCACTGGAACGTGTCGCCTTCGTCGTGACAGGTGCCCCCGTTGTTGCATGTGGCTTCGTCACACTGACTCTCACCTGGATGGAGCATTGACAATCTTTAGAGAGTTTCTTTAACATGATTTAAAAAAAAAAAAGACAGACAGCCATGAGCACATACAATAAGCCTGCATGGACAGACCATGGGTGTGGAAAAAAAAAAAAAAAAAAAAGGGAAAAAGAGAGGCTCTTACGGGAGTGGCAGGTTTTTCCCTTCCAGCCATTTTTGCATTCACAGAAGAAGTCAGTCACCAGGTCTCGACACGTCCCTCCGTTATGACAGGGGTTGGTGCTGCAGTCATCGATGTCTGGATACATTACATGGCTGGGTGATTTATGTGCGCTACATCAAATACACGATCAAACCAGCAGTATTTCTGCCGGGACATGGATTCAACAGCATCATGAGGGAACTCACTGATCTCGCAGTGGTCTCCCTCCCAGCCGTCGCCGCAGATGCACTGGTACACGCTGACTTTGTCAATGCAGGTGCCGCCGTTGCGGCATGGGTTACTCTCACAGTCGTTGATGTCTGAGATTTCGGTAAAAAGGCAGAGCGTTAGATTTGCTACGCTGGTGGAAAACAGGCGGACATATCATGTCCCCCTGTGGGGGGAGTTGGGTCTTACTCTCATGGCAGTAGGTGCCTCTAAAGCCCTCCTGGCACTCGCAGCTGAACTGGCCTCCAGCCTGACTCCGACAGTGACCGTGAGGTCCACATACATTTGAAGAAATGTAACGCTCCCCTCCCGGTGTGCTGTTTGATGCCACAGCGACGGTGCAGCTGTCAATCACTGCAGAGAGAGGGGGGGGGGGGGGGGGGGGGGGGGGGGTGAGTCAAACATTAGCTCCAAGTCCAAGCAACAAGGACAGACTGGTATAGAAACGTTATGCAAAGAAGTGAGAAAGAGGAGAAGTGTCTTTTCACATCATAGGATTAGAAACAGTGGGGAGGGAAAAAATGACAGAGGAAACAGCAATAAGCTGTTATGCTTTCATAAGCAATTTGGATAGATTTTTTTTTTTCACTGAGCACTAAAATCCCCTCCTTTCCCACTGTCTGATCAGGTTAGGCAAACTGGGTATATTCGCTCCCCTGTAATCACTTAATTCTTGCCAAGAGCAGGGAGGAACTCAACATCTATCTGACTCTGTGGTTGGTCCTCTCACTCAATTAGACACACACTCACACACACACACACTTAGACGGAGAAAAAATCTGCACATTCACTGAGGGGGAAAAGAAGAGGTAGCCCACCAAGTCATTACCAAGAACACACACGGTGTCATCGGTCCTGTGCCAGATTTTCAGGGCATTTAGAGACAGGGAGCATCATTGGAAAAGCTTTGCTCCAGAGAGCGGGGAGAGGCAGTCGTCAAACGTGCTCACCTTGGCCAAAAAAAGTTCACTGCATGAAACTAAAATATAGGTATTTCCCTCATGGGAAAATACGGGTAAAGCGTTCAGGCAAATAGAGAAAACCGGCTCGCATTCAGACTTTTACTGCAGCTAGCTACATGGATCATCTTTCAGAGGCCCTCTGGAAGAAAAGAAAAAAAGCCAGAAAAGAAAAAAAACAAGGGCTTATTGTAAGTAGGAGGGTTACCTTTACAAGTAGTGGTGCGACAGTGGTCGGTTAGGTGGGAGCAGTTTTTGCCCTCGTAATCCTCTGGGCAAGCGCAGTAGTAGTCCGTGTCCCTGTTGAAGCAGGACGCTCCATTCTGGCACGGGTTGGGTGAGCAGTAATCAATATCCAGCTGGGGGAGAAAGGTATTGAATAGAGGGCGGTGAACCCGATAGCCGACATAGTTTCTTCAACAGAAAACAGAGCAAAACCCACAGCATCCTCCCCACAGGCCGTGCCAGGAAACAACACATGCACAGCTCTGGGAGGAAAGGGAAAAACAAGGCAGAGACATAGGAGCCGTCTTCCGAGTCTGGGCTTCAGCGCTGAGGAATGCATCCCGCTGCAGCCAGGAGCAGCTTCAACAAAGCACTCCATTTAAAAAAAAAAAAGGACTGTGGAACAACATCCATTTAACAGGGTGGGGCAGGAAAACTTTACAACAAACCAGAAGACACGGCAGACCGAGCCGAGAGGCTTTAGAGGCCCGAGCGGCAGGAGGAAGGCCGTCTGCACGGCTGCTCCATCATCCGCCTCACCTGGCAAAGATTTCCTGAGAAGCCCGCCAGGCAGAGGCAGTGGAAGCCGTTCACTTCATCCTGACAGCGGCCGCCATTCAGGCACGGGGAGCTCGCACATTCGTCGATGTCCCTCTCACAGTGCTCGCCGGCGAAGCCAGAGGGACACACGCAGCGATAGCCGTTCACCAGGTCCTGAGAGAGACACAGCCTGGGATCAACCTCATCATAACCACAGATCTGATTAACTGCTCTAGAAGAGAGGAGTCTAAACAATAACTGTCAAACCGGGGCACAAGATGAAGGGGGCTTGGGGGGGGGGGGATTATTATCACAGCTCTGCAATTATTTCAGCACATTTTCCTGGCTCTGGCTCAACACAATAATGTTTATGGTAATTCAATCTAGTGTGGTCATGAAACTTGTGTGTCCTGCCCTGAGAAACCCCTCTGAAGCCATTTCTCTCAGATTTGATTTCAGAGGAATTCCACAACAATTCCACTGCTGGGTTGGAGAGAACAGTTTACAACAGCTATTTATACAACCACTGTAAATGTCTTTGGCATAGACAAGGAGACGCAATTAAACAAACAAACAAACAAACAAGCGGGCAAACGCAGCCGTGCTGCCCGATACAGCTGGATGGGTTTTGATCAGTCACCTACCTTGCAAGTTCCTCCATTCTTGCACTGATCCTTGCAGTCGTTTATATCTGTGTGGGAAAAACAAATTTGAGGATTAATTCTGACCAGCTCAACTAAATAGTCTGTCTTTGTAAACAAGTCTGTGCTTTAAATTTCCATTGCTAGGGGCCTTTAAAAACATTGTCGGGGTCGCGAGAACGCAGTGCAAGAGTTGGATAATGTAGCTGCAAAATCAGTGCAAAACAGAGTATTGAGCAATCCTGCCTGCTGCCAAGTGAAACTAAAGCTGGGATTGTTTGGAGCCACCCCTAATCACCAGAGTCTCGGCCACACACAGGTCTAATAATCACACAGCAGACACATTTACACTGCAGGGAAAGACTGCACAAGAACAACTGGTTTGCTTTATGCCTTCATGTCGCAGCTTTCCTTTGGCATGAACTGAGCGAATGGAAATAAATGAATAAAGCAGGGGGCCGAACATGTGTCCTACACCACAGCTGCAGCTTTCAACTCACTGATGTCACAGTTCTGCCCCGTCCAACCAGGGAGGCACTCGCAGAAGTATCCACCAATCAGGTTGCGGCATGAGTTGGCATTAACACAGGGCTTGCTATCACATTCATTGGCATCTAGATGAGGGACAGGGGGGGGGTTAGTGGAATGTACACGTACAATTCACAGGCATGGAGTGGTGGAAAAGCTGGCTATCCCACCTATTAGACATGTCTTCCCCGTCCACTGTGAAGGACACTGACACTTGAAGCCATTAACCAGATCATGGCAGGACCCTCCATGATTACAGGGATTTGAAGAGCAGTCATCCACATCTGTGCGAGAGAGCAGAACTCATGTTAATTGAAATGGGGGCATCTACCAGGGTCTTTGCATCAAAGGAGTGCAGGATCAGTGCAATCTCACTGATGGTGCAGGACGGTCCGCTCCAGCCTGGCACACACTGACACTCGTAGCCCTGACTGGTTTCCGAACAGCCTCCTCCATTAGAACACGGATTGGAGAGACATGCGTGTTCCGCTAAAACGAAAGAGACAAAAATCCCATGTCGTGACAATTTATTACATATACTCGGTCATAAAAAAACAGCAAAAAAAATAAAATAAAGAAAAGATATCTTGGGGCATTTGTATGTGTGAACAGGTCCCACCACCGGTCTCGGCTGTGGATGACCTCACTCTGGGCTTTTTCCACTTTGTTACCACAAAACATCCAGGGCTCGACTCCTTTCCTCACCTGGTAACATAACCCTGTCCTCTGTTGCTCCGAAAGCCCATTAAAAAAAAAAAGTACCCTCTATCTCCTTCTCATTAACCACCCAGACAGACCAAGCCATCAGGAAATCATCTTTCATGGCATGTTGACTTGACCAACGCACCGTGACTTCCCTCCGACTCCCAGCCGTTCTTTTTTTGAGAGGCGGTACATGATGAGAGAGTGGCGGGAGAGCCGGCACTTTCTACTCTGCAGATGAGTTCAGGATGAGTGGGTCCCAAATGAATTGCAAATGAATGATTCACTCAAGAACCACCAGGCAGTTGAAGGTGACGGGTGGATGCCCCAGCGGGGCGGGGGGGGGGGGGGGGGGGACGCCCGGCTGCACCCCGGGGGCCCAGAGTCTTACAATGGCCTGGCGTTTGCCAAGCTTAGAAGACCTCTTGTTACAGAGGGCGCAGTTTCCAGACGCCTCTGCAGTTAAGCTGTCAGCAACTTATGCAGCTCAGATTTAATGAGGAAAAAAAAAAAAGAAGACATGATCTCTATGGTGAGTGTTCGCCACAGTCGACCTCACCACACCCATCTGCCCAGAGGAGCAAAGGGATGACCGGCCGCGGGAGATCAAACCGCTGAATTACCTGACTTGGGGGGGCCACTTCATCTCAAGTGGAAACAGATTATTGCGAGTTATCACCTCCTCTGATTACAAACTCAGCGCACCTCTGACCTTTTGCCTGCGAGCTCAGTGAGCCCAGAACTTTCCCACTAATTGTACTGCAAACATGGTTTTAAAAGCCCTTGAGATCAAATCTTCCTTTGACTATAGATAGATTTGCTCTGGAAATTAAAGGATGAGATTACAGGGATTCCTTGGGCCAGCCATACCCCCCCCCCCCCCCAAAAAAAAATAAAAGATCTAGCCACAACAAAGCTTTCATAACTGCTGCAATCTAAACAGAAAGTAAATAAGTGTTGTTTACATCCTTAGGCTCACCTCTCTCACAGTTTGCTCCAGAGTAACCCTCAGCACAGGTACACTGATACTTGTCTGGTCCCGTGTTGATGCATGTCCCTCCATTCAGGCATGGCTGGTGTGTGCCACAGTAGTTCAGATCTGGGGGGGGGGAAAGGTGACAGGAAACTGGTGTTTCACACAGTTTTTGAGATGTCTTGACACATCAAGGGTCATTCCAACAGGAACTGGGACATTAGGGAGGTAAAATGAACCTTTGTCACACAGGTGGCCGCCCCAGTTGGTGTCGCACAGGCACTGCCACGGCTCCCCACAGGTCCCATGCACGCAGCCGGGGTGGGGGATGCACTTGTCACAGTACTGGCCCTGCCAGCCATACAGACACCTGCAACACACACACACACACACAAAGCCATCAGTAAAACATGAAATACAAGTGCAGCACGAACACACGCACAACGTTCAAGCAAATTCTCAACAATCGCAGCAAGCCAGATAATCCCTGTGGTATCTGAACATGTTAATATCCTAATCTTCCACTTATTTCAGATTCCTTCACAAGCAAAGAAGGGGTAATCTGAGCCTAATGAGCTAAATATTGGCATGTGCAGCACAGAGCTGCAACAACTAAAACAAAGAGGCAGTATTCTTGTTCTCACAAGTGGGCTGGATGTTGAAAGCCCACATTAATTTTAAGCAGCGGCGTGTTTATGCAACAGCTTTTTAACAATACTCGCGCACAAGCAAAAACAGGGGGATTTAGCATTTTAACAAACAACAAACATAACAAAACTCTAAATTACAGCTCCAATGGGACCTTTAGCACAGCTAACATTAGCATGTGGCTGGACGCTCCCTTTAACGACATTCTGCCTGTGGCTTGTCGGTGGCGACATTCTTGCAGAGAGGAGTGTTCAGCCCTCCTCGCAGCTATTACGCCGCTGCTCGCCCTGGTTCCCATGAGTCAGTAGTCAAGCTTGTGCCCCAAGGCAGAGGAGGAGAGAGCAGCTTGCTGACCACTGAAATGTCCAGGTCCATAATTACACTGATAGTGCTGCCCCTTCTCTTGCTCAGCTCCGTAATTTAGACAGGAATCCGCTCTGACTGATAAGCCTGCTCCTCAGAGGTGGCGAAGTGGTGGTAGGGTTGCTGCTGTGGAGCCCAGCGACAGGAAACACAGCGTCCCTCTGGGGGGGGGGGGGGGGGGGGGGGGGGGGGTTGCCCGAAGAGGGGGGGGGGGAGAAAAAAAAAAGGGGGGGCCGGGGGGGGGGGGGGGGGGGGCAGCATGCTGATTAGCCTCAAGAAACGGACGGACTGTAAAAATAAACGTGGTGCTTAAGTAAACCCAAGTTTGTGATTAAAGAGGCCGTTTTTAAAAGTGCTCTAATCCCCTCCATGAGAAGCGGAGCAGCAATCACCAGTGGGATCCTAAAATCGTTTTCAGCAAACGCACAGCTGAAGCACCGAGAAATGGGACATTAAGTTTATGCTTTTTCAAACGGTTTCCCTAGGGCCCGCTTTCACATCTTTAATCTTTCTATTAACGACATTAAAATTCAAAAAGCGGTGGAGCATCATTAGCTGCCCTTCCCAGAAAATAGTGTTGCTGGGCATCACGGTTGTTTAACGCTGCAACAACCCATTGGTGGGAAAATGCTCAACAACTACAAGAGTACAAAAGATTATTTGGAGAGCCTGTTAAATAAGAGCTAAAGCCAGAGCTTTAAACATAGCCACACCTGCACAGAGACTAACCCAAGTCAATTTCTTGTTCTGCCAGTGGCCACACAAGCTCTTACATGAAATCTGATCAAGTCAAAAAGCTTGGGAAAAACAACAAAGTTACAGCACAAAATGAAAAAAAAAATCATCCCTTTGTTTGATTCATGGCCAAATCAGACAACTAAAAAAGCAACCAATGCTTGGGCTGTGGGAAGAGTTAGCGCTGGGGCCTCCTCCGGTCCAGGAAGAGATTCAGCTCTTAGGGCACACAATGCCCCAGCACTGATATCCATCTGTGGCTGGCTTTTCCTCTGGCTGTGTGCACAAACAGCATTAGGAAGCCATTAGCTACATAAACAATACACTCTAAGGCTCATCCGAACGCGGCATGTGATCTGGCCGATAACGCTTGCCTCATTAGAGGGCTGGTAGCGTTTTCCGCATCGGATTGCGGCAGTTGAGCCTTGAGTGACAGCCCTGGTCAAAAACCACTACAAGAGATTTACAAGCAGCTCAGAGCACATCTTGGGCTGAGGCCCTAGTACTGATAAGTGTTTGGGCCAAAAACCACAAGCAGGGGAATAGATCAATGGAACGACAGGACTGATGCTTTGACACGATCATTACAGATCAGAAAAATTCACACCACGGGCTTCTGGCCACTATCTGTCAAGTAACCTCCAACCAACTACATCTGCATAACTCCAGCTCTGACCACTTACTTGCATTCACCGGGCTCCTTGCATGATCCATGTTCAGTGCTGCAGCCCTGTCGACATATAGCTGGAAAGAGAAAGAACAGCGGTTTTACCACAGGCCGAGCAGATTTCTTGACTTCAGTGCTAAACGGATGCAAAAAATAAAGATATAAATGAATAAAAACCCAGCCACAGTGCAGAGACAAAGGGTCATTCAATGCACATCGTGAAACAGACAGTGCATCAGCATGAATCACAGATTACAGTCATACTGGGGACTCTGAGAAGATTCCTTCATAGTCATAAAAGCTCATCCATCCGACTCAAGCTGCCGTCTCCATCAGTATTTCCAAAAGGGATGTCTGAGCACATGCTGCCACCTCAGCAGGGCTTACCCGTGTTGCAGTCAGGTCCAGACCAGCCTTCCAGACAGGTTTTGTTGCCATTGTAGTCGCATGTGTAATGCCCAAAAAACTCATTGCGTGGCCGACAAAACTTGTTACAGCCAAAGCCGTAGTAGTGCTCATCACAGCTGACGCGGATTTGATACTCAAACTGGGCAATGGGGCCGTTGTGAGTTAGCTTCTGCCAGTTGGGGCTGGGGTTGATCATGCCAGAGTGAGAGGCTTTCGCTATCAGCTTCCCATCTGCACCTAAAAAAAAAAACATAGATTGAGACATGTTACAGTGACAAATGTGCTCTCGTACTGAATTCAATCCTGCTTTTCCCCTCCTCTACTCTTGAAACTATGTCAGTGTTCCAAAAGTTTCAGACACTAGGGGAGTGTAACATCCGACATCAGGACTTTGGGTGTTGCAATGTCCTTGGTCATAAATTGGGAACCCAAAAATGCCCCAAAAATTCTGACACAAATTGCAGAAGATCTCGGAGATAGCAGATTATATGTAATTAAGGCAACTATGTGTACTGAAGAGGAGGAAAAGTACAAGGAGGAAATGCAGAAAAAAGAAAAAGGATGCCTGTAATGAGCACTTTTAACTGCTTTTTTTCTCACGCTCCCTTGTCCAACTTTCTGATTCTGAGCTTTACAGCCTGAGGATAATGCTGGTCTGCGATGCTGCTCTCTGCATCTGCTCAGGCGAGGAAAGAACCGCAGTCGCCATAAATTACAGTGTGATGCCGCAGTCACTGCTGGGAGGCCCGCCAGTGTGCCATCAGCACTTTCCTCCTGCCATTTTCAAATGCATTTTTGTTAACAGCAGTGAAAATGGTATTGAAGTCAACACTTTCACACACTAAGAAGGATCTATCTGCACTTTCAGATCCGGAGCAAAGACACAGCCGATGTTGTGATTTTAAAAACACAAATTTAGAGAACCCAGAACCAGACTTATTTTCTTGTCAAACACAAAGAGGTCACAGCTCTGTCAAATGAGCAGGGACCGGAGCCAAGGGCTGTAATGGGCCTCACACACACACACACACACACACACACAGAGCTAACACACTCAAACTGAGCAAACACGCTCAGCCTGATCTCCAGACGTGACGCCGTCTACTTAGCCCCGCACATAAGCACCGCTTATTCGCTCGTACATGCAGCACTCGCTACTCAATGTCTAAATCTTCCACCTGGGAGAGAATGAAAAATATGTCAGTCATTATTTACCAGGGCTCACACGAGCAGAGGTGACTGACCGCCAGGCAGATCACTCCTCCGTGTAGTATGATGCAATGCAATGCTGAGGGGGATGGTTCTGTCGTTTATTTACTGCGCACAGGCGTGCATGAGTGGGGGGGGGGGCAGGTCGTGGTACCGCTCTGAAATCGCGGCACCCAGTAAGATTTCGCAGCAGGCTGAAATCCAGAGAGTAGCCGTGTGGCATTTCTCTACCGACTGCTGGCCTGCGGTGTCAAGAGTAGCGGGCCCTTGCTACCTGCTGCCTGGCCTACAGCTACACACATAAATCAACAAAACTTTGTTCCGAGAAGTTGATTCTCATGCATGATATATATAAATCCATCTTAAATCAAATCTGAAACTTAGAAAGCTTACTCTTCTCTCAACAATTTTTAGTGGCATTGATTTGAAAATGCCTTTACTTACGAATTAATGTAGAGCTAAGAGTTTATTTTGGTTAAGAATCTGTACAAATCTCTGTTAGGATAGTCTCAGCGCACAGAGAGCAGAGCTGTGACCTAACCAGGAGGAGCTCAGAGAGATTTAACCACCACCGAGTGTACATTCAAGGGGCTTTTCACACCAGCGTCCTAATAGTTCTCCGGGGAGCGGCAAATACAGCAGAAAAGACCGAAACTTTGCTGAGCTCTAACAGACATAAACAAGCCTGGGAGCAGGCCCTGCCCTAATCTGGGATCACCGACCTCACGACCAGCCAGCCACAATGAAGATTTCAGATTCAGCACGATGTTATCGTGGTGATATAGGATTCCACGCTCATAGGGGAGCAAGAGGAAGAACAACAGCCAAAAAAAACAGAACGCAACCCTAGCCTTTGAATAGCACACTGAACGCCCTCCACTGCAAACGCTCGGAGCTCACCTGTGCCGGAGGGAAGTTAAACCAACAAGACTAAAGCTTGCGGGCCTCGACCCCCCCCCCCGCCCGCCCGAGCAGCAACTACGGGCTTCAGGCTCTGGATGAACTCTGTGTTTCACGCCTCAGTGACAGTGAGACATTGCGACCTCGACCCGAGCTGGCAGCACCTGCCATCAGTCATCGGTCAAATAAAAACATTTTTATAGGCTTGTGGGGGCAGAGAGCCTCTACCTCATCTCTGCCTCTTCCCCCTCGCCTCTACAGAAGCGCCTCTTCCCTTACAGGCACCTGTCAGCGCACTTTAAACACACACACGTGCGTCCTGTGGACCTTGTGGAGGAGAGTGGGAAAGCGCTCAGGAATAAACTTCCTTTATTGGCCTTTGGCATAGCTTGTCATGAGCTGCCTCAAGGAAGTGGAGAAGGACGGCACAGAGAACAGAGGGCGAGATGGAGATGCCAGACAGCAGAAATACTCACCACTGGTCTCATTGTTGAAGTCCCAGGCCTCCACTATCAGAGTGTAGGATCTCTGCGTGAGATAAGACAGATAAAAGGGGCATTAGCGAGGGAGAGTATCATGTCAGGGTCACTGTATCATAAAACAAGATGCTATCACTCAAATATCCCGATAACAATCTTATGTTTTAGGACCTGCATGACCTAACCAGAGAGAGGTTCTCTCCTAACTAACGTGGAACAAATGAGCTGCTTTTCTAACATCAGTCTGCTCTGCTTTCCCCTTTAACAAAGTGTAACATTTTCGGTAGTTAAGGTCTCAGAAATGAAAAGTTTCCCATGACCTCACCCGTCCTGCCAGTGATGTTTCATCTCCCCCTCGGCTTGCTTACGACAAAGCCTCGAACAGAATCTGGAGTGAACTTATAACAATGGCTCAGTTGATCTGATTAAAAGAGGATAAGCCTGCGGTGGTGCAAAGGTCCACCAACAATTGGCAGACACATGCCTGGTGGTCTGGTATAGCTGGACACCCACCCAGCAGGTGGCTGTCTGCTGCACCAAAAAGCAGCACAGAGTGTTTTTAGTCAGGACAGGAATGAGTTGAGATGCAAGCTGAAGAGGGTGCATGACCCTGCAAGGCCCAGCGTATGTCTTCACATTAGCCACTGTGATGCTGCCATCCGGAGATGGTTTTTCCACTTGTTTATAAAATGTGTCAAGAGAGGTGAGTGAATAATTTCCAGTGTTCTGTAAGAGCTCACTGTTAGTCCCGTCTGGAGTGTGTGTGGGGGTTTCAACTTCTGACAGAGTGCTACAAATGCTGACAACAGTCTTGGCAGAAGTCTTTTAGGACACTGCTGAAGGCAAGAAAACAAAGAAGTGCATGTGATGGACGGCAGGGAATAAAAAGCTAAAAAAAAAAAAAAAAGCCCCAAAAAAAGGGAAAGGGGAGAAGGAGAGAGGCTGAAAGGAGCGCTACACAACGAGCAGCCCATCTAGGTTTCAGCACTCCTGAAAACGCTTTGTCTGATTCAGGGTCGGTAGCGCTCACACCAGTATCAGCTTACACGCTCACCCTGCCCGGTCTGCAGTCGGGGGGGAACCAACGCGTCGGCAGGATCGCACAGAAAAAAAAAGGCATGGAAACAGAGAATGGAAAGAAACATGCCTCCAACGACCGCTACATGCCGCCCGGCATAAGCACGCAGCTCCTGCGTGGAGGCATTTTAGAAATTTGGCAGTGGTGCTGGGACCCTCCTTTGCTGCAGTGACTTCACGGTAAACAAACGTGCTCAAAGGAAAACCCCTGCTCCCTCTCCACACAAAGGAAGAAAGAAAGGGCCATGACTCACTCCTAAGCCGCCCCTCCCTCCCGTTTCACAGCTTCACCTTGTTTTCTCAGGCATCCAGCTTTCCATCTTTCCTGGAGACATTTGTCACATCTCCTGCCAGCATTCTACTGCAATCAGGGCAGCCATTATTCGAAAGGCAGCGCTCATCATCAGCAACAGACCACACAGAGCATTCTGGGACGCAACTGGTTGAAATGGCTCGACACAAAATCCCAGCTAGTGAGTCAGTGGTAACGTGACACCCAATCATCTACTACCTCACCCCAGCCGACAGAAAAAAGAACTCATCCAGCAAAAAAACCCCGTTGGCTTTCCTATGGGCATCCAGTATCGTGTTGGAGCCGAGTCGCTCACCTCATGCTTCACGCTTGACACGACTTGAAGAGGGCCAGCCAAAACAACAGCGCTTCCAAAATACAGCTTGAGCCGTTAAACCTCCACCATTCAGGGGCGACCGATTGAAATGGCTCTGTGTGACACCAGTGAAGTCACGAGCAGTGACCGGACCTGATGCATGCAAACATCAGAGTTCTATTAGTATGGCAGTATCTCAAATGAAGTCATGATTGCAAAGTTCAACTCTCATGTTGGTGTGACAGTCACGATCAAGAGGGGGGGAAAAAAGCTTTGGGTAGCTTGCCAATGTTGGTGATCTGTGACATCCCACATTTTGTTTTGCAAAAAAAAATAAAAGATTGCAACCTGAGGAAGGAAAAGGAAAGAAAAAAAAAAAGCGAGGTTCACCTGCCGCGCAATGAAATTTCACACCGTGTCAAAAAGTGATGGGAAATCCCACTTGTAGTTAATTATCAGTAAAAGGGCTGCCGGTTAATTCCTTCCTGCGGCACCGTTCACCGTGTTCAGACGGCGCCTCCAGGTCTTTATGCTTTACAAAGGTACCTGTACAGGAGCACAAAAAAAACCCAAATGTCTTTCCATGACTTAAGACTCTCCCCGGCACAAAGGCAGCTTCTGCCCTGCAATCCTTACTCATCGTTTATCAGTGGTACATTCAAAAAGATCAAAGACCGAGCCCATAAACTGACACCGCAGCAGCCGCAGGTAGAAATAGCCAAACTCTGTCCTTGTTCAAAACTGCTGAGGGATTCTCAGCAAGTGCAATGCCTGAACGGCATAACCTCACCCTTTTTGGGACCCTCATTTTTTTAAGGATGAAAAAAAACAGTAAAAAAAAAGAAAAGCTGTGCCTGCAGAGGGTGAGCTACTGCCCGGCTCCTCATTCACCAACACTCCATAACTCCTTGCCTCTTATCAACTTGGAACCGTCTGCCACTGCCAGGTTCACTTTTCCCAGGCTCCCAGCTGACTCACAACTTCGCTTTGAACTACAGAGGACACACTCGCTTTCTCCGTCTCTTTCCTTTTTCACTTACACACACACAAACACTCACATATACTCCTGTGTAGCTAGTGTGGCCATATGTCTCCTTATCTTTCATAGCCAAGCAGACACTGTTCAACAGACGAGCAACATAACCGATAAAGATCCTTCCAGTTAAATCACATTTACTTGCCAAAGAACACTCCTGAATCCTCCTAGTAGGGGAATTTTCCTAACATACACTCTCTGTCCTTCACTGACAAGTGACCCATCTGATATAGCAGGGAATATAACTAAATAAAAAAAGGGGGGAGCTTTGTCTTGTGGAATAACAGTCAGAAGCCAAAGGTTGACATAAAGGCGAGGCGCAGCAGATTAGACTGGTCTCGGCCTTCACTCTGCACAGAGGAAATGTAAACAGTGCGGTCAAAGATATGTTGACCCTCTGTATCAGTTTTCCAAAGCCAGTCACTTCGATACCATCAACCTGCAGTCTGACCAATGACTCGGACCGCTAAGTATCACACCCCATTTGCAGTGAAGCCCAGACCGTCAGGAAAAAGCAAACTCTCACTATCACCGTCAAAGCAACAAAAGCAGGAATCTTTCCCCAACAGATTACCATCTCAGCAAAACATTGTTGTACAATCAACAGCTTATCAAATATCCTGTCAAGGTACATTAGCCGGGGATACACCAGAACCTCACCCCGACTAAAGAATCTCACATTCTGCCAACTAAAACAAAACACTGAAAACTGATTTCTAGCAGAGCAAACAAATCAAAACACGCATGCGAACGCAGAAGGGAAAGTCACACTGAGCGCTTAGCTAAACAATAAGCAATCTGACTAATTATTAGGGGGAAAACCAGAACACACGGGTTACCCTAATTAAATGGATTCTGAACGCACACCGTGGACCTACAGGTCAGATCAGGAGCCATTATGTAACGTCATCCCAGCACCCCACAGAACGGGAGTGCAGGGTGAGCTGGGGAGGAGGGGAAAGCAGAGAACATTTCTGTTCTCTCTTTCACTTGAGTAATTTGCACTTAACTGCCACATCAGAGCTGACTATATAAAACAAACATGTCATTACTCCCAGCGCAGCAGCAGCACTTATCCTCAAGGCTGAGCCGACTATTGTTCTGGGACACACCTGATTCGAGTTCCCAGACTACTTTGACAAGTCAAAAAAACAAAAAAAAACAAGTCAATCATGCGGATAGGAACGCATCCCAGGTCTGAGAGAGGCAACGGCTTTGTGCTTAAAGAGGAGGGTGGAGGATGATTGTGCCGTTTAATTCGGACACACGCGGGTCTGACAATTTAGGGCGGGAAAATCAGAGAAACCCCAGATGAAAGGACATAAAGTGCTGAGTAAAGACGAATGGAGCTGGGAAGCTACGCTCTGACAGTGCAAGAACTAGCACAGCTGGATGGGTCCCCTTTACTTTTTCAGGTGGTAATAGTCACAGGCCAGGTCACAGTTCGCCTGAGAGCCAGCTTCATCACTGCTGAGTCTGTGACAACTGCTTCCTGTGGCCTGCCCTGCACTGGCATTACAGCTGCACGGCATCCATTATGCTCTGTAATCCTCACTGTAGTCACCCAGGGCACACCATTGTCCCCGCTTGATACGCTGTGAGGGCCAGTGGAGCTGGGCTCCTCTTTGCAACAAAAAAAAAAAACACCTAAGCAGACAATATGGTTCCACACAAGGCTCTACAACACCGGCCTGCTCGTGTTAAAGATGTCCAGCCGACATCATGCACTTCAGCTGGACGCCTGGCTCTTGCCCTACCTGATCCGAGCACATGTGTGTAGCCTCATTAAGTGCAGCAGTTACCGTGGGTGGCAAGGTTAAAGCGATGAAATGCCTGGGGTCCAACAGAGCGTGACTTAAACAAAGCCCTTGGCCTGGACAAGAGGCCAACTTCATGCAGCTCACAAGAGAGGATGAAGGGAGAGGGAGGGGGAGGGCTTCGTGAACTCTGAGTACCCAACAACCCAATAGCACCACACTGCCATCTGTCCACAACAGCCAATCAACTGATGAAAAGGACAAAGAGTGATATCATACCTAACCTGACAATTGTTAATGTGCACTGAAGTAAAGCACTTGAAGTGAAGGAAGAGAGAATCGGGCCTTTTACCCCAATTCAAATCCTTTGGCGGCTACCTGAAGCATCTAATTGGAACGTTTTTATATTTCCATTAATCTGGAGTTCTTAACATAACCAAGAGCCTTCACTGATTTAAAGAAATGTAAGCTGGGATATAAGAAGCCACCAAAGTCCTCGTGATTGGCAGAACGCGCCCAACGAACAAATGGGACCGATTTTCAACCAGCGTCATTAAACTGGTTTGGGTCCGTGCCCACTTGGTATTGGCTTAAACATAAACTGGAGCTTTTGTTGCTAAATAGTGAAAAAAACAACACGTGAAGGGCCAGTAGCTCAGTGGAATGCCAGAAAAAATAAAAACATCACGTGAATTTGCATGCTTGTCTATTGAGAACATAGCTTTACAGGGCAGATCCTGTTCGACCACAAATTAAATGATCTGTTCTGCCTCCCAGGTAACATCCACAAAAAAAATTAACCTCTGATGGGAAAAGGGGAAAAAAGCCTCAAATTACATTCACATTTTTTTCACTTGTCTGGGCCATCAGCGTGGACAATGCTCAATATCACAACAAGAACTTCCACTGAGATCAAAGTAAAAATAGCCTTGATGTAATTGGACACACACATACCAGCGGAGTGTGCTTTCAGCTATCAGGAATGGAGGAGTTTGTGGGCCAAGCTGTGGGGCCAGTCAGTCTGTGCAGTCATTTTTTTTTCTCTCTCCTCACAACACTGAAATGTGCTCCAGCATGGCAAATCATCTCTCTCACACGGAGTTCCAACACTCCCACAGGCCTGCCAGGCCCATTTATTTACCCTAGGAAGAAGAGCTGACACTTAAAGAAACCCAAAGATTTGGTTTTCACTCAGGGGTTGCTGCACTGTGCAACACCAGATGCCACAGAAAAAGAGAGGGACTGAAAAAGAGAAGAAAAAAAATCAGCTCACCCAACTTTTCTTCTGTTGGATGGAGCAAAGAAAGAAAAACAATGTTCAAGCAAGACGTTTGCACTCAGCTCATTTTACACAGAGATGTAAATGGATTTCTTGTAATATTTGACCATTAAAGCAAAGTGAGGGGTGTCTGATGGTTCAAATTAACTTGCAACTATACTAGTGGCACCAGCTTTTGATCTTTCACTCATCCCCAAACCACACTCTGGCAACTCAATCCTCACCACTGGAGAAGCAGTTTAACACCCTAAAGCTGCCCTGATGGACAAGTCAAGTCCAGATGAGGGAAAAATGCCTGCACCTGGTAAAATACAGAATAAGGCAAGACAAAAACTTGTCTTTTGTTTTGCTTTCTTTTACCCTTTCCTTCAAGGGGAGGTAAACCTGATTGACGGGCAGTAATTACACATAATTACCAAGCAAACAGACTTTTTTTTGTTCCCTTTACATTCCCCTTATTTATTTATTTTTTTGGGAGATGCCCGTTGTGGCAGTTTTTTTTTAATCGTTTGTTTGTTTTTGTTTTTAAGAGTCTCCACTCACCGGCCAGGCAAAACTGAAGGGCAAAACTATCCTGGATTTGTCATTCCTGACAGAGCTCCTGAAAGAAAACGTATTCCCTCCGAGAACAGGCGTAGATCCCACTCCGAAGCTGCAGGGCCCCGCAGCAGAGACCCGGGTCTGGTATTCCTTCAGGCAAACTTTAAAAAACGTATCGCACTCGTCCCGTGCGCACTTTCTATCCGCCGCGTTCCGCGCGCCGTCGCAGCACGCGCCGCTCTGCAGCTCTCCGTTCGCGTTGTGCATCGACACGACCTGCAACTCGAACTGTCCCGACCCCTCCGACACCTGTTGGGAGACAGAGCAGCGCACTTTAAGTGGGAAAACTTTGAACTTGGACTGGACGCGCGCACGGGCCAGCGTCCGGGGCACGGTTACAGGTTGCGTTAGCATAGCCGTGCACACACACACACTCACACACTCACACACAAACACACTCACATACACACGCGGAGAAAACACGGGGACGCAGCGCATCCCCGCGCGGCTGAACCGCGTGACCTTTGCGGGCCGTTCTGCGTCCGGGCGCGCGCTCGCACGTACCTTCACCAGGACGCAGAGCAGGAGGGCGGCCGCCACCGAGCCCCGTCTCAGAATCATGCCGAACGACTGCTGTCGCCTCTCGCTTGGACTAGTTGTCTGGCCGACACACGGCACCAGAGCCGGCCTCTGGTTTAAACATGCACGGGGGGTGGGGGGGTGGTGGGGGAAAACTGGTCGCTCTGGTCAGCGGAGCTCGGGTTCCAGGTTCATAGAAAAGAGCTCCCTGCTGGATCCAGTCCCTCAACCCCCGAGAGCGTCTGGCCCCGCTTGGTTATCCGACAGTCTCCGCTCGTTGCTCGCGCAGGTTTCACACGGTAGCCATGCGGCGGCCGAGCCCACTGCTGACTGACTGCGGGTCCGAGCAGGAGCTGGCCTACACGGGCTGAGCGCAGAGGGAGTGTCCGCGGGGCCCCGGGCCTCCATATTCATGAGCGCAGCGCCCTGGGCCCGCCTCCCCCCCCCCCCCCCCCCCCCCCCACGCCCCCCCTCCCGCCCTCAGCAGCGCAACAGCCGCCCGCTCCAGATTGGTTTAAAACGACTTTACGGCGGGGGCTGCGGTGGAAAATAAAAGTGGGAATATTCTATGACCTGGAGCCATATTGATGCACATAACTCCTCACGACCGCAAATCTAAACAAGAAAAAAAAAAAAAGAATCATACTTCGGGCCATGCCTCAATTGATGTCCCACCCCTCTTTTAAGAGATCGTGCCTTTCTACATTTTACATTATTGCATACTACCCTCACCGCAATTTTTCCTGTAATTTTGCCTCATAAAGATTTATGTCAGCTTTTTAAAGGTGCATAGACCTAGTTAAGTTGGGGTTTACTCTCCAAGCTTTGTGCCATTAAGTCGCACAGTAAATCATCTGGACTGCAAAAAGATCTTGCATCAAGGCCAGAGCCAAGGGCATACTCCAAATGTGGGCTATCTTAGTAAAGCCTTGGAGAGCTTGCAATTCCATTGTAGAAAAATACCCAGCATGCTTGCCTGTTATTTTTTCAAGAAAAAAAAGAAGATATTTATTCTCTGAAGTCAGTGGAAAAAATGTAAAGCTACTGAGAACTGTTGAGAAGGTCCGCAGACGTGCCGCGGCGTTGACAGACCTGCATGTTTTATGGCCGCCTGAAAAATTTGATGCATTTTAAATCACTTGCTAACTTGTAGCTAATGGCCAAACATATTGCCCTGCTTGGTGTTTGACTTAGATCCCTGCTGACCGCATTCACAGCTTCCATATACAGTGTATGTTTAAGTGGTCACAGAAGTACGGATTTTGGTGTCAAAACATAATTGTGGCCAGGTGTATCTCTGAAGGTAATCTATGAGCAAGATCAGTAACTTGGACACACACGCACCCATACATTCTTTCGAGGGACGAGAACCCCCTCTGCCCCTGTCGTTAGTGATTTGTGCAAACCAATTACGCAGGTCACTCAGAGGGTCACAATCAGGGAAACACGGTTGGAAACTGTGGGGCTACATTGTGAGGGAGCAAATCAATCAGTTACAATGCAATGCCTCAATATCACACTTTTTTAGCAGTTTATGAGGCTGTCACATGTCTTAGATATATGTGCTTGCATCTGATAAGCAAATAGGCCACAATTTTTCTTTGGTTTTAGTTGACTGTTTTCACTGCAACAGGAAAGCTTAACAGTTTATCTTATCTCCGGGACCATCACTGACGCAGAGATAAGCATGGTCCCCCTCAGCGTTTATTTTCCTTGTTACAGAGCCACCCTATGAAAAAAAAAAAGAAAGAATGCATTTTAAAGAGGGAAAACATCCGAGAGTTTTTCTCATTTCCTCGCCATTTTGTTTTGCTCGATATTTAAATGTCCCATTTCCGGCGGTCGAACTTCAAGATGAAAGATGAAACTTCCTTCCCACCCGTCTGAGTAACTGAGCTGATAGACATCTCAGGTTACAGGCCTCATTGAAATTCAGTCCCTGCGTAATTAGGGTTAATTGGGGAAGTTTTAACCCTCGGGAGTTTTTTTTCCCCACTTTTTCCTTAATGGCACAGCAAAGGCTAAAGTGGAATCTAGTACTGATTTAGAATAGGGAGGGGGGAGTCCTGTCTTATTGCTTACTGGACCTGCCCAGTTTTGACGCTTATGTTGAGACGCTGACTACACAAGCATTTTTCTTTTTTTGAGAAAAATTCTGCCATGCAGCAAACTTTTGCCAAAATTTTGGCCAAGTTGTCTGAAAAAAAAGATTTAAAAATTTTTTTGGGGTCTTTCCCTTCAGTGCTTCTCCTCTAATATGTCATATTACATAGCATGAAAGCAGCACGTCCTCTGTTCCCTGTAAGTATGGTGTGTCTTCGTCATATAGACCAGACATGGTTTCTCCTCTGAGACTGTGGTGCTAATCTCCAGCAGCCTTAATGTGATTATGGTAATGATCACACAAATGACCCCTGGGCTTTGGGGGGGATCCGTGGTTCATACATCCCCACACATAGGCTGCACAGGCGCTCTGACTCCAGAAGAGACCACCAGAATCAGCCAGTCCCGGTGGACCTGTCCTATTCTTATATTGTTGCTGAGCTTGGAAGATACAAGTGAATGAACAAATAAATTCCAGCCAGTAACAAAAGAGCCGAACGGCCATGAGAGAGATGGATATCTTTTGTTGTCTGGCAATCAATGCCCTATTCCAATCCAATTACCTCAGCCTTTTGCAATCCCTCCCATTGCTGTGCATGGCATTGAAGTCTGCCGGAATTCAGGCTCCCAAGAAAAATGTGGTGGATTTGGTGCTTAGAGAGTACTCCCTCCCACCCTATGTTCAGTAAAATCGAAGACACAAGTGGTTTTTAGCAACCACTATCTTTTAAAATCCCCTATAATTTATTCCAATGTCATTATTGTCAAGGTGACATTTCCTCTTTATTGCATTGGAAAAAATTACGTGGCAGAATTGCTTCAACAAGGATTTCTTTTGTGAACAGTCAACAGGGAACACACAAGAAAGCACCTTGTGACATAGTTTACACTCCATTAGAATGAGAAGGAATGACATATACATTCAGTGCTCTTCAAAAAACAACCAATGTATTAGATGTCAAAGCTGCATGTCTGTGTTCCTCTGTGCTTCTGGTGGAGGTCCACTGATCGTTAAAAGGGTTGAAAAGAGTAAAGCAAAACAATATATATGATACTGATTAAATCTGACTAAATAAATCCTCCATGGTCATGTTTTTAAGTAGGTTAAAATATCTTGATTTGCTTATCTTCATAGGTTTAAGAATATCAGACCATTTTTATTTTCAACCCTGAACATCTTAGAAACAATGCAAACACCAATATTAACCACACACTTTATAAAATAATGAAAATAATATAATCCATACAGGATTGAATTTGGTTTGCTGTGAACACGGTCCCTGAATCTGCTGTGTTATAACCATTAGCAGCTCCTGTCATAATGCAGACTATGTGTTGACAGTATCTTGATGAGAATGCCAGAAAAGTGCCAGTACAGACGGAATCTGTATTGTGAGATTGAGAGAAAAATGTGTGAGGTAAAGATATATGTCTGAGGTGGAGATTAAGGTTCGAGCCACAGAATGAAAATGAGACTCTTGCTGTACTTAAGTGTTTAAGACGGTTTACTTGCTGCTTTTATCTGAGTTGTTTTTACCAGATGTGTTGGAGATGATATTAACATTCATCAGTCTTACAGGAGGTGACTTTGCAAGTTTCAGTATTTATCCTGAAGCATGTGCTGGGAGGTGACGGTATTTTGATGTCTGAGTGAATATGTGGTGAGTACCTCAGTGTGGTTAAAACGCGGGAGTCCAGCTGCTATATGAGGAGGAGCGATACTGTAGAGGATTTGGTTGAGAGCATGGGTTTTGATTTTCATTGGTTCAAACTGTGCTTAATTGCTGTGGTGATGCTGTGGGTGACTCATTTATGTCAAGTTTATTGTAGTTGTCATTTTCTTTTTTCAATCCTGAAATGGTTCTCCATATGTCAAAGTGGCACAGGGGAATTACAGCACGATGATTTAGATGGTTACTTGTAGAGTGAACGGCATAAGACATCGGTATAAGAGATGGCTGGATCAGCACTCTGCACAAATACACGTGTGAGGATAAGAGCAAGTGAATGGATCATTAATCTGCACGTGTGTGTCTTCTCACATCCTGAATAGCAAGAGGTATTTGATCCTCAGAGGGGAGGTCTAGATTATCCGGTCTTACGCTAGTGGTCTGCATCTCCAGTATTTCCACCGGATCTACAATACCCGCTCTCATAGAGCTTGACTGACAGGGTGATCATATGATTTAATCATTTGTGTTTGCTGTCAGTGAGGAATTGCTTCATGGTGCAGGCATAGGTGTATGATTAGATTTACTCCTGCCAGGGAGTTTGAGAATAAGCCCAAATGCGGAGGAATGCAATTTCAATCATTGATCAATGGGACTTTTTCTGAGGTGGGAGGATGCGGACTATCGAGGCAAAATGATTAGATTCAATGCTCATCACACCCTCCCTGGTGGTCTCCTAGACCTATGAGGGCCAACATGCTGCTCTCAGGATCAGTGAGTCAGAACAGTGCTCTGCTCAAACAGGATATAAGTCCTTGCTTGAGGTGAGTGAAGCTAATTACCCGAACTTCCTATCTGGAGGAGGTGACACTGATAAACTCTTCCCCTCCTTTGTCCCCGTTGTGGTCAGACACGTTACCCTTTGGAATATGAGGGTGAGTGTCACAGAGAAATCCCTGCATTCCTGTACATGCAAACTCTCTCTGAAAAATGACCCCATCGACTTGCCGAGAGGAACATAAGCCCTGTCAAAACGACATCCGTTGCCAGCCTTGAAGGAAAATATTGATGCTTGGAGCCCCTTGACGTCCCTTACACCATGACGTAGCGGTTTTTCCATGACACATTTGATGATTGCTTCCAAATGGGCTTGTCGGTTTTAATATAGATGACCCCTGCATTTCGCTTTCCTCTAAAGTAAACAAAAATCTGTGGCTCTCTCTCACACACACACACACATATATATAATATGTGTGATCACATGAGCAGGAATGAGCCTTGAGATAAAGCAGGCATTCCCGAGATGATCTATGTTTTCACATTCAATCTTCTCGCTTGTGAGTGAAGCGGTTTAAATTGATGTTGTTTTTGTAAGTTTGCAGATTGAAAGCCACAGTGTTATTTTAGGAAACTGGATCTAAATCCAAGAAACAGATTTAAACTCTAGTATGTGGTGGCGGTAAAAAAGAAAAAAGAAACAGGACATGTCTGACAAATTGTTTACCTTACACTTTTCCTCACTGTAATCTATTAATATCATATAATGATACTCTTTCTGTCAGCTTTGTTAATTCTATGTGACAAACACATTTCTTCTCACATTTATGTGAAGCCAGTGTTCAGTGAGTCAATACA